AGCTGTAATAATACCTTTTAATCCGTTCAGTAGAAAGGGTATTATTGGTATGGTAAATATATTTTAGTTTAAATGAACTTTAAATAAAACAACGTATGTACACATAACAGAGCCGCCGATAAATGATTATTTAACGAATGAATAATGGAGCCGATGAGTCGATCACCAACACAACTCTCCTATTCTTCATCAGTCTCATTTCGCCTCTCAACAATGAGCCGTGTGTTTGTATCTGTGTGCGTGTATATGGATACATATATAATATAAATACAAATACCGTGCACTTCTATTTTTAAATATGCATTCGCAAGTGGCACGCGGGTGGCCGTCGTGTTTTCCTAAGCTGGCGCAAAATTACACACTGGCTGCTTCGCCAATCGCTTGGTCGTCTTTTACCCTATATAAACTTTTTGTTATTTTGTTATTGTTTTTTTTTTTTCACATATTCTTGCTCGACTTTTTACCTCATTTCACATTTTTTATTCTCATTTTTTCCCGCTCACTTGGGGACTATATTTATGTATATAGACACGCAAGCGTATACTAAAACATGTAGACAAAATCGCCACTCTTTATATATATATATATATATAAGAGATATTTGTGTATGTTGAAGCAAGAAAAGAAGCAGAAGAGATTGGTTAGTATATAGAGATAAAAAAAAATAAAATCAAGTATCTCCAAAAGATGTGGGTTTTATTTTTCAAGCGGACCTTTATAGCCCTCATCCCCTTGTACGGTGCACCGGCGAGGCGCCTCAATCAAAAGCAAGTAAAACGTAAAAAATCAGGCAACAAAATTCGCGGAGGGGCTTTTACTCACGGTTCGCGAACAACCAACAACGAACAACGAACAACGAACAACCAACTAAAATCTTCAGCTCCTTACCTTCATTCTGTCGACTATTGTTTCCTGTCTCCGTTTATCTCAGACAACAGTTTCCAACCGGTCGATCGTTATATTCCCTCGCTCTTTTACCTCAGCTAGGACACGTTAACGAGCCAGTAAATATGTTGACTGGTTGACTGAGCGAGAGGCGTTTGGCTTCACCAAAGTGTATATACGCGCCCGAAACATAATGATTATAATAGTAGTTTGTTGGTAACCGAAGAGAGCTGCCCATTTTAGAGCCTGTGTAAGCCGCCGTGTAATTTTCCACCCACTAAAATAGCCATCGGGCCGGCTACCCTCCGGCTCGAAGCCCGAGCCCAAGCCCTCAATCCGACGGTGATTATCGGCAAATAAGGTACAGACCGAGCTACAAGTATTATATTCAAACAAACATTATAATAATAATAAATAATAATTTACAATAAATATAAATAATAATAATATTATTATTAAAGTAATTTACAAAGTTACAAGTTAAGTAATATATAATATGTATAAATATTTGCTGGAGCTTGAGTGGGTCATCAGGTGGCACTTGCGTTAAATCATGGGAACTTGACCTTTCGCGCGAGTTTTACACTCGACGACTACCGACCCAAGGTCGTGCTCTCCAATCTATTCACATACACTTATCTACTTATTATACTTATTATGTATGCTTGCTATGCACCTAGTCTCTCGTCTCTCGATTCTCGTATGCGACAGGCCTAGGGGGTGGTAGTGGGACGGGCGGGAGGGAGAAAGCTGCGTAGGTAACATGATTCAACGTGGTATAGGTCAGATTTAAGCCGCCTTTGATATTTAAATCGGCCGTGTGAGTCTCCCGACCACACGCAGGAATTTACACGTTTTGTACCTTTCTATACGGCGTTCGAACACCGAACGCCGAAAGCCGAACACCGCGGTCTCTCACTCTACCGTGCATACATAATATATAACATACAATATAACTAAGTCTAACTAACTTGCACACCAGCCAATATTTTACCTGCTAAACAAAAGATAATAAAAGTAAATATTATTTATATTTATACAAAAAAATAAAAGTATAATACTTGACTGCCGAAATGGTTAGCAAAAGCTGTATGTATTTAAAAGAGTCTTGAATTTTGAGATAAAAATTAATGAAAAAAGAACAGGACAGAGTGCGTGTATGTCAGCCGATCGATCCGGCAGTTATTATCCGCTTGGTTTCGACACACGCTCCAATATTATACATATAGAAGATTTTTATGTACGTGAGAGGAGAGATGCCCGATTAACTCATCACTCCATTGACTCGGACAAGCTTTTCGCCTGGACTGTATTGCTAATAAGGCATAGGCAGTTAGTGCGAGAGAGTAGCCAGGCCTGATGGTACCGGTCATGGGGCGGAGGGGTAAAGGGACCAACAGGCAATAAGACCGCCTTGGCCACAAAACTCAACTCAGCTTAGCTCTACTCGGTAAGACTGCACACAGACCGTTGGGTAACGTTCGCGCGCCAAAAACTCAAACTCCTTACCTCTCCTTGAGTTCCCCGCGTCCCTTCAGGATCGCGGTAGGCAACTCCTGAGTTGGACCACCCGAGTTCCGAGGTGAGTGCCGGGTACCCTGTAATCACGTGCAGCCGAGCCGCGAGCCGACAAACCAAACGAAAAGAGATAAAGATAAACAAAGATTCGGGCCGGGCCCCCAGCGAGTGACTCCCCCTGTCCCCGATCACTCCCGGGTCACTGCATCAGGCACACGGCACACCTCTTCCCTTCTAGCTAATTCTCATTCCAACTGGGACAATTCCGTCTACTCTCATTATAATTATCATTTATTCGAATCCGCTGATGTTGCTATGTTGCACGATGGTTATACGATGGCTCAAATAGTTTTGTATTGCTCAATATGTTGTTATTATTACTTAAAACTTACATGTATGACTATAAAGTATGGGACGGGGTTAAAAAAAATGTTTGAGATTAAGAGAAAAGAGAGCAAGAGAGAATAAGAGCCAGTTTAAGTAGGGAAGGGAAGGAAGAAGCATACGCGGGCCCACGGCACGTGCATGCACGCGATACGGAAGACGAGAGTCTCGTCTGATGCCCTGGCTGGTGCCCTCCACCATCACCACCATCACCACCATCACCACCATCACCACCACCACCAGCAGCAGCAGCAGCAGCAGCAACACCACCACCACTGGCTGCTCATACGTGGACTCCACCGAGCCAGTAGACTAGACGGCGCGTGCCAGGTGCTCGAACACCACAGTACACAGTAACAGTCCCACACTCGTCGACCCAGTTGCATGCAAGCCCCTTCAATTGCTGCCCACTACTTACAATTTCTCGGCTCTCAAGCGAATGAGCTTCAGGATTCGAGGACTCACACAGTGATATCAGATCAGATAGAGATTAACACTGATAGATTTGTTGGTACATGCTGATGCTATAATATATTAGTTGGTGGCAAACTGAAACTCGTTTAATTTGTGAAAGATCGAGAGATCAAGAGGCTACTGGATAAAAAGTTACTGGGAATAAATAGAGGGACTACCTTACTCTGATTGCTGGACCAACGGCAGTCCAGTATTAAGTATGAGTAGTATAAGTATAACTTTAAGTAGTATAGTGGATAGTGGATAGTGCCCGTATTTACTCCAAAAGAATTTACTTAGAAGGAGAACTCGAGTGATAAAGAGCGTGAGCCAGATAAATAAGAAACGCGAAGAGGGAGGAGAAAAGAGAGAAAGAGATTGAGAGACGGAAAAGTTAATACGTGACGGGCTTGCCGGCGAACGGACGAAGAGGAAGGATGTGCGCGCGCAGAGCCTCGACCGGCGCCCACTAGGAGTCACTGTCTCTGTGACCGAGCTCTGTAGTCTGTAGCTGTACGATAGCAGCTTGCTCAGTGCTCAGTCTAATTTGAACCGCCGCGGAAGTTGTTCGACGCTCGAGCACCTCTCTCCGACGTCTCTCAGCACGCCTCTTATTATCGTGCCAGATTCTCACCCTTTTAGCGGCTTAACCGAGTGTGTATGCGCCAGGAGGGCTAAACACATTGGAGGCCCGGAGACCGAGAGCCAGAACGAGGAGAACTAAGAGAGACGATAACGCAAAGCCCCTAAAAATAAATCCCAAAGTGTTTATTCAGCGCTAAAAAAATATCTCGTGCGCTATTTAAAATAAAAATAAAAAAAAAAAGGCATCATTTTTTGCCATCGAACATTTACACTCGCACTTTACAGAATGTGTGTATTCTCTTTATACACATACGTACACACTGAAAAACAGAGTACTGTAAATTGGAGCAGTAAATGAAAGCTGGTGACTCGTGACGAGCTAACACACGAGTTTTGCACACGGTTAGACGCGCGTGTTGACGATAAGAAATGTGGCGAAGGAGCTCGCCACGTGGGCGCCTGTGTTTATAAATCAACGAGTGTGTGTATAATATATATCTACCAATGAGAAATCTACAATGATGAAACTTTATTACACCTGTTTTCAGCAACAGCAACAGCAACAGCTCCAGCTTATAAACAAACTTGAGCAGCAGCAACAGCAAGACAACCACCACCACCACCACCACTACCACCACCACCACCACCACCACCACGACCACCACCACGACCACCACCACCACCTATACTATCATTATCATCAACAGCAGCAAAAATATCATCAACTCGAATTTGACCACTGTCACCGCAACTATCATAATAACTCACAGAAATTGGAATTCACGAGGAATATTAAGAAAATTTTTATCAACTTTAACGAGGAAAAAAACAGTGTCAGTAAAAAATAAAAAAGTACGATGGAACTTGGGATCAATGTCTCGGTGTCAGGCAGTGTGGTTGCTCATCGGCTCGTTGACAACAACGTTATTGTACCGACATTTATTTGGATTTGTTAAATGAGCGGATACAGAGAGTGACGGAACTTAATGGCTCATTATTGTCGGGTGTCAGTGAGCGGATCCAAGGATGCTCGGATCTGGGGCTCCCGATTCCGTACCAGCGATTGCTGGTAGACCATTGCTGGTAGTGTTACGGTGCGGTGCTGGTGATTATGAGAAGGACAAGGTCCCGTGGAGTCCAAGGCTCGGGGCCAAGACTACCATCGTCAATCGGTGATGGGAAAGGGATGGACTGAATCCATTGTAATAACTGTTACTAGACTTGAACTAGTGTCAGTGTTTTATATTGATATTTATGGACGTAAAAATAACGAAATAGATATTGATATTTACGTGAGAGTGAAGACCCTTGAGATCCTGATCCTCGTCCTCGTGTCGACTTTAGCCTCGTTTAAGAGGAGAGAGACCTGGACGAGCGAAGGGGTTACTGTGGTAGCAGATCGGATAATGCGGGCTTCCTTTATTTTATCGGGAATCCTTACCGGCTGGTGGTGCATCCTCACGCTCATAGCGGCACCCCCAGCCATCAGTTTACAACTTCGAACGGGACTGGACAACAATTTTTATCCAAGAACGAGCAAGTGGCTGTCGCTGATCGGGACCGGGCTGAGACAGAGCCCGCAGCCAGAGGGCGAATCCTTGTCTTCTGGGCTCGGGAGTTTCCCCTCGAGTCTCAGAGCCAGGTCCAGGGCCGGGAGGTCCAGCGCTGCCAGTGCCGGTCGCAACAAAAAGGACTCTAGGCGGGAGCAGCGAAAACGGTGCCGTCGAAAAAACGGAGCCCCTTGTCACTCTCGCAACTGGTGTCCGGAAATTGACGTGGGGAACCGCGCGTACTTGGCGCCCACCGTCTTCGAGGGTAAGGTAAGAAGCATGTCGTCCTCAAGGAGTCCCGGCTCGAATTACGCGGTGACCTTTGAGGTCAAGCAGGTTTACAAGAGTCAGGCTGGGTTCCAGCCGCTTCGCAAGAATGACAGTGTACGACTACATTTTCGCGACAAATCGGATAAGAGAACAGGGGGAGGAGGAGGAGCTGGAGCTGGAGCTGGAGGCACTAGAGGAACAGGGGGAGGAGAATCAGGTGGCAAGTCCTCGTTGTGTCGTAACGAGGGCACTAACGAGCACCAGCAGCTACACGAACTGCGTCAGCGTGATGACAATGCTCGAGTGGTACGCGCTGACATTAAACGCGGTAAAGTGTATCTAGTGTTTGTGAATCGTGTGGGACCTAGAAACTTTACAATCCTGGGTGAACCAGTGATACGGAGCAAGAAAAACGAGCAGGCGGTACAGGCAGTCATTCGACCCGATTACGGTGAGTCAACTAAACACATATACATTTATATATACATACAGTCAACTATTTTATTCTCTTTTATTCCATATTCTTCTCATATAGAGTGTCCCGTCTTGGCTAGCACGGATACCAACACTTTATCCAAAAAGCTTTTTTTTTTTTTATATTCCTTGCTGGTATAGTCCAGCTGGCCTCTATGAATATCATGTACAGCCAATGTTTGTTCGGCAATGAGCCGAGTCCTCACAGTCGAAGATAATCGAAAATTAACCTGGCGCATAGCGAAAATTATCCGACCATGGTGGGACTCGAACCCATGCCTGGCCAGTACCCGTAGTTCGAAGTCAAGCACGTTAGCCGCTCGGCTACAAGTACTGGTTTATCCAAAAAGCTAATCGGTACTTTGCCAATAATCACCATCCAAATTTCTTCACCCGAAGATATAACTATTATATATTTAATTTAATTGTATCTATCATCGTATAGTTAATGCTGCTAATTTTGTTGTTTCTGATTATGAGAGATGTTATCGTTCAGTAGAGCCTGGGTCGTCTTTATTGGCTGACGTCACCTCGAACATCTAACATCAAACTCCCATCTCGTGAGCCGATCAATTATCCAAACGACCAATTAATCATTCAAATTACGATTAATCGTTTGCTGAGAGTCGTTATATTATATTATACTCCAAAGTATAAATTTGTGTGAGGATGACGTTAGTTGTATTCTTGTTTTGTATTTTATAAGACAGTGCACTACATATAAACAAGATATATATATATATATATATATGGATAGTATAAGTATGTAAGTATCTATATCGGTATGTGAGTAACCCAAGCACGTACGGCCCGTGACCATACTGGGCTACCGGCGCTCAGTGGGCTCCCGAGGACAGATAAGACTGGATCACCCGCAGATTGACGAAATGCAAGTGGGACTCTCTCATCGTAAACGAATACATGTGGATAAATAATAATAAGTATATAGATATATGTTTGTTTGTGAGTGTGAGTGTCTACATACAAGAAGAAGCAAGGGGGCAGTCAGTAGACAGCACGGCGGCTCACAAACCCATCACCACCGAAGACCAAACATCACCCAATATATGTAATATAATCGAAAGACTAAATTAGCGATCTAACGATTATTAATCATAATCACACTATTATATACACCCGAGGGTTTTGGTACACTCGTTAACCGCTTTTATTAATTAATGCAGCGATAATTATGAGAGTCTAGCGCTCAGTGGGATACTGATTGCGGTGGTGGTTACAACTTGTACCAACTTAACCAGCATTTAAGTGCCAAGTGTAATTAGCTCTCGTTATCGCTTTGATCGCCTCTCGCAACAACATTAACCGAGTTTGCCGGCCATAGAGCAGTTTGCCGATCTTCGCCGACGGCTCTCTTCCTCGAAAGTTCGTTCCGCGAACTCGACGACGCACGATGCGAGATGCCGGTCACGATCTCTCGCATCATGGACGTTTCTCTCCCTCTTTTACCGCCGTTCTCTGCTCTTTGTATTACGCTCGAAATTCATTCCGAGCAAGACGCGCCGTGCTTTTCGATTTTTTTATTATTATTTTATATATATATATATATATATATATATATATATATATATATATATATACATGAATATACACATTTTTTTTTTTTTTATTATTTTCATATATATACACATATATACGTACGTATATATCTACATATGAGAGAAATACTCGCGACGTAGAGTCAGCTGAACTCGAGAAATGCTCAAGGACACGCATAGCCAGCAAGTGCAGCTGGAATGACGATTTTTCTTCAGAAAAAAAAAATATACACACATTCGCGTATATATATATATATTATATATACATGTATGTACACATATGCCCCTTTTCTCGTTCACATGCCTGCGTTTACCAGCCGCTTAACTCGTTACTTTCTTTAACGGCAAACGCAGTAAACGCTCGAGCACGCCTGCTTACTCACGGTGTACCGAATCGTATAAGGGAAAAACGAGCAGCCGGATTGGGCGAAGACCAGCGGGATTCCGTCTCTCTCGATCATGTCGCTGCGTTGCCGTTTCATTTCGTCGGTTCATCTACTACGGAAGTACCGGGTAGATCTCTCTAGCTCTAGCTACTACTCTGTAATGCACTCTATATATGTATCTATATGGTTACACATAACTATATGACTGTATAACTATATACATACACACCATACACCATTCTCCTTTTCCTCCACCCAGAACCGCGAGACTATTCAACTCGTTAAGATCTGTTGAAACCTGTTGATACCTGTGCTAATACTATTGCCACGGTTGTCACTCAACAAAACTCTATAGAAAACAAACTTACTATTGGCACTCACTAGCTCATTTATTAACTCGATATTCAACTACATGACAATTTACAGCCCAACTATCTGGCTGTATATAACTTAACGTTACTTGCCAGAGCCAGATGCAGCTATTTTATCACAAATGCTATTTATTTTATTGTGTACTAACTATTCAATCGTTTAATCATTTCAATGCTATTTATTATATCACATACCTGTGTAATGTATGTAATTGATTGTTGCTATATGCACTTTATCATTATTCATTAATATTATGTATTATTATAGTCATTATAAAGCTCGGTTATATCATTATATCATTGCGTTATAATATAACTTTACCTAGCCGAGTTGAGTTTAAGTGTAGCCTCTTCTACAACTTGTACTACTATTTGATGACAAAAATATTGTATGTATTTCGAAATTCTATTTGTGTCTACGAGCAGCCAGCAAAACGAGAAAAAACGTTCGAGAACGTTGACAACACTCGGTTTAATTGACTCACAACTCTCAATTACCATACAAACTTGTCCTAATTTCTAAAATTTTATTTTGAATACAGTATTTATTAATCATTTTTAGAATATAAATATAAATGTTATTTAACTCCCCAACAATAATTATCTATAAATAAAATAAGAAGATTAGGATTAAAATTAAAATTTGGTTATATAGATAGAATTTCAAATAAATTAACTTGTTTATTATTTTTTCGTCGCGAAAAAAATTGTCGTGAAAAAATTAAATTAGCGAGTGCAAATTGGGAGACTTTATGGACGAAAAACGTCAGATAAATTCCCGCAAACTATTTATAGATATCATTTTCGTAAATTTTATTACAAAAGCGGCCGTATTAATAACATTGTTACAACCAGTTATATTATCTTCTTGATAAAAAACTCATTATTTCGATTATCATTATTGAACAATAGACATTACACATATAACACGTATCAATTACCTCTAAGATAACGTTTAATGACTGCAACATTGTCATGAATTTGTCAACGTTAATCAAGTTCCGTTAAATTTTTTTAACTAAAAATACCGAATAAAAATCCCCGCAATTACAAATTAAAGATTTTATAAATGATAAGCCAAAGTATCAAAATACTTTTAAATTTATTAACCAGCCGGTCCATGGCCGCTTTTTTTTACCAACATATTTTTTTATCTAAAAATCCCGTTAAATAAAAAATATATATATTTGATAGAGTATGTAACAAAACATGATCCATCTAATAAATATTAATATAACGAAGTGAAAGATTTCCAAGTTTGTATGGTATGCTACTGCCGTCTCATTGCTTTCTACATACCGAACCAAAGGAGCCTCAATTCGAGCTATTTTTTTTGGCCCGTCTCTAGAATGACAATTAACTTAACACAATGTATCCTCGGTTGAAATTCAAGCCAATTCTTCGTGTGTAGGCTGAAACAAATATAATCGATTACACGATGTGTCTATACACCGATATCACTTTCAATATACCTACATACATTGATACAATATAAACACTATTAACTTTTAGTTGTTTTATTTTTTTTTCTTACTATTATAATTATAATTATTATAATTATAATTATTATTATTATTATTATTATTATTATTATTATTATTATTATTATTGTATACATATACTCTCATACTATTACCAAACAGCGAGCACAAAGCATCATCTCATTATTGTTGTGACTCGTCTCTCATCCGGTGTTTGATTACGTGTCTTGTTATCATTATTTAAACAACAATTCTAGACGCCAGCATCCATATTCCAATGCGATCGATCTAGTAAATAATTTATTGTCAGATAGAGACGTTTGTCCTCACTCGCGGTAAGTGTGATAGATGGTATTATATATCGAGTCGTGGATGAGAGATAGCGAAGCTTAACAAGTAGTAGTAGCAGTCTAGAGTCAGACATACTTGACAACATTCCCTTTACTTAGTCTTATGCTTGTACTTGTACTTACTTAACTTATACACATATATACTTTTTGTTAAATTTTTTATTATTTATTATTATTATTACTATTGCAGTAGTAGTAGTAATAGTAATGGATAGATTGAGGCTGATAATGTTAATTTGACCTTAATCGAGCAATTATAAATTATATTTAATTGACCGGCACAGATACGTTAGTTATGGTGTTTTTTGATTAGCAACGGCAGTTAAAGCACAATAGGGTGTGTGATAGTGGTGTGTATCGTTTGAGTAGTACCGAGATGATCTAATTATAGTTAACGCCGCACCATGACTTCTTAGTGTGTAATCTACGAGAAGTTAAAATAGAACGACGAGATGCGCTTGTTCATCCTCGGCTGTGTGCTTTTCTCTTACGATAGTAGTAACACTCTCCAGCGTTAAGAGTGTCTTAATTTTTCTTAACTTAACGTTCTCAACGTTTATTTATATATTTAACTTATTGTTATTATTATTATTATTTAAGACTTAATAAAATTTTATATTTTTAATAATAACAACTGTTGGATGTTGCAGTTAGAGAAGTTACGTTGACGGAGCTGAGGGACTCGGTGGCAAGAACGAGGGAGCGAGTTAAGCTTGTGTGCAGAACAAGAGGTTCGCCACCACCTAGAGTCCACTGGCTCAAGGACGGTGCGCCGCTGTATCCACGACGGGGCCTGAGAATTCAGCACAAACGGTGAGAACGATTGTGTCGAGATTTTTCGGGTGATTCTTTGGGAAAGAAACGGCGAGTAGAGTTGAGGCTGAGACAGAGGCGGTGAGAGAGCCGAATAAAAAGATCAGAAAAATAATGCTGAAAGACGGTGGACCGTGGATCGGGATCCAGAGAAAATAGAGAGAAAGATAAATAAAAAAATAATAAAATAAAGTTAAAAAATAAATAACTGAGGCAACCACAGTCGACAGTCGACAGAGTTTCTAATTTGGTGCCGAGGAAAAATCGACACTCCGTCTAGACTAGCGGCACTCTCGGCTCTCTTTTTCTCTCTCTCCTGTTCATCTTAAACTTTATTTCTATTTATATAATCCACCTCGTTCATACAACTCGCTCGGTTTTCGTTCTTTCCTTTCATCTCGTTACGTCTCTGCTCTCTGCCTTAAGCCTCTCTTATTCTCTTCTCACCACTTTGGGGATGATGATATATCAAGTACTAGACACACTCATCCGTGATTATCATTATATATATTTTATTTCATCTATGCCTTTTCTTTTTTTTTTTCTTTGCAGAAGACGATCCAAAGTGGTAATCGCGTCAGCGCGCCCCGAAGACAGCGGTAGGTACGAGTGCGTTGCCCAAAGTACCTCCGGCTATCGGGCCTCACTTGCGGCCCAACTTCTAGTCGTTAATGACATCAAGGTTCCTGAAACCAGTAAGTTTTTTTTTTTTTTTTTTTTTTTTTTTTTTTTTTTAATTTAATAAATAAATTAATTAAATAATCAAATTTACTTTCAGCAACAGTTGCGTGGCCTAGACAAGAGCAACCGTGTCCTATAGCAGGAGATTTTTGTATGAACGGCGGTACCTGTCTCTTCTTCGAGACCGTCGGCGAGCCAGCATGCAGGTAAATTTATATTATTTCAATTGATATTATTTAACAATAATAATATTGTTATTGTTAAATGTAATTATGTTGTACCAATTTAATAATAGATAAAAATAAAAATAAAACGAGATTGTTTTCGTCTGGAGATACCACGTGAATAATCCAGACGACATTGAAGTGGCCAGTAGTACACATGAGACTACCAGCCATGTGCCAGCAAAATCCCTCGGTAGTCAAAACATTGACTGAAGCAGCGACAAAAATGTCGTGGCCCGCTAAAAAAGTGACACCTGGCAGGGTCAGAAAAAATATTAACGGATATTGAGAGCTTTTTGGGCTACCGGCCAATAAAATATATATATATTTTATTTGTGCGAATGTATGAATAATGCGTGGTGTGTTCTACGTCCACGGGTCGCTGAATCTCTGTCACTCTTGACTTTTATATATAATAAAGTCTCAAACATTAATATTAAAATCCGGTAAATATCAAACATTAAGTGGAGAACAGCTCCAAAGATGCTGAAAATTTTCGCAACACAACCGTCGGACGAGGTTGGGCGTAACGTTAGCTAGGACATCGCTCGCGCACTACACGCGCACCCAAGAGATTCTCATTTCGAAAGCTTATAAATAGAACGACCAAATTATTTTCCAGAGAAGCGTCTCGAGTTCCGTAGCTTGCTCGTAAGCATAAGAGAGAGCGATGAATTGCCTCACAAGTCGACTCATACTATACGACTGTTGATTAATATATATATTTATATATGTATAATATATATCTATATTTTCTTGAGTGTGTATACGTGTTTTGAGTACCCATGTGAATATGAAGTAAATTTTATAACATAATGATTATGGTGTTACAGATGCGCGGAGGGCTTTACCGGTCTACGATGCGAGACCAAGGACGTAATCAGCACCGGAAGTGTGTACAACCGTCATAGAGCGCCATTTTCATGCAAGTTGGGTCTTTCGACCTCGTATTACTGCTAACGATAGTGACGCGGAACCCAATTTGGTAGCTGCTACTTTTTTTGGCGTTCCCAACTTATTTTTTATGCCACATCATCATTATTATTATTATTATTATTATTATTATTATTATTATTATTATTATTATTATTATTATTATCATATATCATTATTATTATTATTACTTTAGTTGTTATTAATTATTATTTCTATTATTATTATTTTTAGTTTATTTTTCAATTTACTCAGTTATCATTAACATTCACTTACCATTTTCATCGTTTAACGATGTTATTACAATTATGATTTACAATACTCCATTTAGCCTTGCCTATGGCTTGCCTAAAACTAGACAACTTGTACGAATTACAATTGAATTTTTTTTTTTTCTTTTCTTTAACAGATGTCCATTTTTATTAATAGACAGGCACTCGCTCGCTTGCTCTCTCTCGCTCTAATTTTCTGTCGTTTTTATTTTTATTTTTGTTTTATTTTATTCTCTGTAGGTATACGAATACATTCTATTTATATATCTAGATAAATATCATTGATAATACTTTCAACAGCGATCCTTAATTTTTTCCCGTGAATTATACCAAAGAAGTGTCTTCCAAACACTACCAATCACCCGAAGAATACACTTAATATTTTTTTTATTTCTCAATAACCAAATGCTTTTAATGTTCTTATTATGATTATTATTATTATTATTATTATTATCATTATTATTATTATTATTATTGTTAGTACTACTATTATTATTATTACTATTCTACTGAGTAAACTGAGAATAATTGAAAGCATCTCTAAGATTAACGTATCAGTAACTACATTATAATAATAAACACTCAATTTATAAATATTTTTCTACCAAAAAATGAAAATAAAAAAAAAGTATTTTTTTTACGTGAGTTTTTTTTTTGAGAACGTGATCAAAAAAATGTTGACTGATACGTTTGTCTGTTTAAAAAATTAAACCACTCATTGACACAGAGAGAGTATAAGTGCCAGGGTATGTCTATATCTTGAAAATCTATTTATGTTTTATACAGTAATTATGTTGTTATTAATTATTATAATTACAATTATAATTATCTTTAATATTATTATTATTTTATTTTATGTATAATTTTAACGTGTACATACATGTATACATTCACGGACTTAAATACAATAATACATGTATAAATAAATTATGTATAAGTAGAATGCGGTTAACTGCATTGAGCTTTAAAAATGAATTTTTATAATAATCAAATATATATAAATTAAATTAATCATAAAAATTCATTTTTAGCATAAATAAATTTTCATTTAATTTTTTTTTAGAATTCAAACAAACTATTTAATTTATTTATTAATTATTAACCGTTTAAATTTATTAATTTGTAATTAAAAATCATCTTTATCATAGCATTTTATTGTTTCATAATTTTTTTAATTACTATATTTATATTTTTATAATAACTATTATTATTATTGTTAATTATTATTTTGTTGTCTTTTAATTTCATTTAAATTAAAAGATAGTAGTACAACCAACAACTTAAACTCGTTCCTCGACGACTGAATCTATTTTTGACTACATCTCCCGCGAAAATATCGAGCACACGGGCTATCATTCAAGAATTAAAATACTATTATTTCTTTAATGATTAATTACTGAGTTTTATTGTACAATATTTAAACAGTTGCTATTGTACATACATTGATATGTGTAAATATTTATGTATGTCTAGGTTTATGGTATATATGTACGGTATATATACAAATACAAATATAAATATATATATATATATATATATATATTTATAGAAAGTAGTTTGGAGTCACTCTCGTAGTAGCTTTGACGCTTGTGTCCGGCTGGTGGCAAACGACGTTGGTGACGGTAAAATCGTGCAAGATAGGTGAACTCGGATGATTCACGAGAGTCGGAAATAGAACTAGAGCCGTTTGCCCTCAAGCGACTCTTACTCCCGTCTCTTGATTCAACTTAAGCCGAGGAATTCTTGCGTAGCACTCACTTTATATATGTATATATTATAAATGTACGTACACATATACTGTAAGTGAGTTAAATACTCACACGGCTATTTATTTAATTTAGTAAGTTGGTGTGTATATACCATATAAAACACTAAAATATAAACGTATAATTTACAATATTTACAACTTATGAGTACTTGAGATGCTTGTAGATGCTAGTTAATAGCTTGTAGTTTTGTTGCATCACGCTGGAGGAAGTAGTGAAGCTTGCCAAGTAGATACGATGGCCATGTCCTCGCTTCAGTGGTTGTTTAAATTACCACCGCATATGTGCTGTTATCGTTTACGTTTATAAAACCCTTTTTTTTCTTAAGATATTTTTTGTGTATCGAAACTAAACAGCGATACACTAGTTGGCGGACCAGGCATCACCCCAAATCCGAGGTAAGTTGGTTACGTTATAATTATACATGTGAGGGGACGATGCACCGTCGACTCAAGACGTCGACCTCGATAAAACACGACGCTTCGCAGTAGTCTCCGTCGTCGTACAAATTATCATCCTCATTTCTTATTAAAATATTATACTGTTGAATCAAAATTTTGTCTTTTAGCTAATATTATTAATAATTAAAAAAATAACAATTATTTATAATTATAATACTTAACTTTATGCATGTATTTTACTTATTTTTCAGCAGAAACCAGCAAAGATGGCCACGAGGGTAATCGTCGTATAGAGCAATGATTATACAGGAGAACATTAATTTAAGTATGCAATACTTAGCTCAAAGATTGCCACTGAGAAAAAAAAGGTCTCACGTCAAAGGGTTGATGCTGAAAAAGTTGGCGAACAGCCGGGCGCCTCGACAACTAACCCAAGACTTGGCGACGAATTTTCTCGCCCGCGCCAAGATAAACCTAATGGTTTAAAGTAATTCGAGACTTCCGACAGTTAATACGAGAGCTCCATCCTCTTGGCCATTAACACCGCTGCTTTTACGATAAATTACTCCAATAGATCTCTATTAATTTTTTAATGCTAATTTTTGATAATTAAAAATAAAGACAAATTTTTGTTTCACAAAATATAAATTATATTTGAGATTTACCAAGCTTAAATAAGTACCAAGAATATTGTGCTAATCTTATATAAAAAAAAAAAAATGAATAGTAAAAAAAAGTATGAAAAAAATAGACATCATAATTTGTAATTAATGACTCACAAATATTTTTATGTATTTCTATAGCTCACTATTGTATCCATTTTATGTATAGACGTAGAAAATGATCTTAACTGCACTTCTTGGCTGTTAGCAATAAAGACTGGCTGAGTTTCATCCCATTCCTTTGGTATTCCACAGTCTGGCACGGTGTAAGTTAATATATCAAAGGAGCAGAGACAGTCCAGAAGTGGTAGAAAGCTTACAGTACCTATTTATAAATAACAAATAAAAAAAACGTAAATAAATAACTTTGAATAAATACCTAGCTATGTATATTTTAAAGTCAAATAAAACATTATTGTCATGCCTGTTATTTGTCGAATAACTTCACGAATCTCCTTCTGTATACTAGGTACATCTTTAGTCCCAACTTCAGGGAGAGCAGATGGATTATTCCCATCAGTAGACTCAGCTTTGCCCTCATAGTCGACCTTGAAATCCCACTTCTCCAATACTTCCTTGGTATTTACATTTGTAATAACAAGAGTCACTTGCTGTACTTTGCGTTGAAGCAGCCACTCTTCCACTTGAGATAGAACCGTATCGAGGAAGGTCTTGATCTTGTCATCGGTAGACATCAAAATAAACATACCAAATTGTTCAGCGGGCTCGAATGTTTCAGGAGGATAGATACCCCGTTGATAAAGTATACTATTGACGCCATACTCTGAAATACCCAATTTTATTATTATTTATCAATTTTTTTTTAAATATTAAATATAATAAGTGTAAAGAATAAATCGGTAAAATAATTTAAATGCCAAAATAAAAAAAAAAAACAAGCACTCACGTAAATATTTTTTAACAAGTTCAGCGGAGCCTTTCAATGTAATACACTTGGCTTTTTGCTGTGTTCCCATTGTTAACTTTAATTTTATAAATTAAAAATAATAAATTTAATTATAAAAAGATTTAATTTTAAAAAAAATCGGCTTAGTTTCTGTTAAATTGTATTCACAAATAAATTTGGAGGTTATGCGTTGCTCGTGTTGTTTAATTTCAAAAAACGGTTGAATTTGAAATGATGACAACAACCAATCGGGTGTAACTTCACTTTAAGCGTTTAATTCGAATAATTAGTTTGTAATAATTGCAATTGAGGACAGCACTTGACAGATTTAGTGCCGCCATCTGGCAATGAAACGGAAAATCACTGGGAATAAAATAAGTATAGGGTGCCTCTTACGGAGAGAAGATATACTACAGCTTGTAGTCTTCCACTCGCTCCCTCCATTGAAAAAAAAAAAAAAGTCTTTCGTAGTTTCATTCCAGTCCCTCTACTTCGCCTGCATCCATCATGGCATCCACCGACGATTTCGTTATTTCCACTTTGGTTTACAATTATTTATTGAAAAAAGACTCGTCAATTGCTAAAGTATTTCAAACAAAAACACATGTGGTAAGTTTAATTTTTTATCAAGAAATTTATTGTAAATTAATTATAAATGCGATAGCCCGCGTAAAATGCCGGATCCATGCCACGATTTTCCCACGTGGTAATGGCTTCGTCGTAATTCGAAACTTCTTAATATTGATTTTGGTTTTAGTTAATGCTTGCTCACAATAATTAATTTTATTTTTATATATTTATTGATTAATTGTTATAATTGTATTGTTGGAACACCAACAATTACACTTGTAAATATTTTGATTGGCTAGTGAATATTCTTAACTGGATAGTTTTTTTTTTTTTTTTTTTTTATGGAAAACACGTGCTGAAAATATAAATTAATATTCTTTTTGCCATTATTTTTTTATAATTATACATTTATTCCAAGTTAATTTTTTAATCTAACTCCAAGTCATTATTGACAATATATTATATTTGTAAATACACGTTTATTCACGTGAATTTGAAAACTAACCCCTTAAAATTTATTATAGTTTAATTTTTAGCAATTGCAAATTCTTTTTTTAACTAATTAAATGAATTTTTATACTCTTAAAATTTTAGCATTAGCATACAGTGTCGTTTTTTTAAAAGAGTTACTCAATTTTAATTATTTATTATTTACTTATTTTAATTATTGTAGCAAAACTCTCATTGTTATAAAAATAAAATCAATCAATTTATTCATTTAATTTTGATTTTTTTACTTAACAATTTATTAAAAATTTAATTATTCAATTATAGAATCCATTACCAAAAGGATCACCAGGCATCGAAGAAATTGTAAAGCACTATCAAAAAAGTTCTCCGAAAAAAATAAACATAAAAGCTCCAGCTAAGTCAGCTAAATCAGATTCGAGCTCAGGCAGTGAAGAGGAAGAAGTTGCAAAGAAGCCATTAGTCAATGGAAAAGCTAAGGCACCTGCAAGCAATAAACCCGAGTCTTCGTCTGATGATTCAAGCTCAGAAGAGGAAGCTAAACCGGTTGCCAAAAAACCTGTAGCTATTTCCAAGGCTACACCAGCTAAAGCTCCTGCTAAAAAAGAGGAATCAAGTTCAGAAGAAGAGAGTTCTGAAGATGAAAAAGCCAAGCCTGTTGCCGTGAAGGCTACTCCTGCTAAAGCTCCTGTAGCCAAGAAAGCAAAGTCTTCAAGCGAAGAAAGCTCCTCTGATGAAGACGATAAAGAATCTAAGACAAAAGCAGTCGCTGCTAAACCAACACCAGTTGCAGCTAGAATTCCACTGAAACCAGACTCGAGCTCTGACGATGACAGCAGTGATGAGGAGGCACCAGTGAAAACAGTTGCACATAAACCTGCTGCTCAGGCTACACCGAAAGCTGCTCCCAAGAAGGCAGAGTCCAGTGACGACTCGGATGATTCCTCAGAAGACGAGAAACCAGCTGCCAAACCGGCTGTAGCTAAACCAACACCCGCGAAAACACCCGCAAAGAAAGAGTCTTCAAGTGAAGACAGCAGTGATGATGATGATGAGCCACCGGCGAAGAAAGTTGCGCCACCAAAACCAGCTCCAGTAGTCCAACAAAAGAAAGTCGCTGCGAACAAGGGGAAAGCATCCAGTAGCAGTGAAGAAAGTAGTTCAGATGAGGAAGAGTCACCCAAGAAACCAGTAGCTAAACCAACACCTGCTAAAACTCCAGCGAAAGCCAAGGAATCGAGTGACGATTCCGATAGCTCTGATGAAGAACCAGCTAAGCCAGCAATGAAAGCGACACCCGCAAAACAGGCTAAGCCAGCCGAATCAAGCGAGGACTCTTCCTCCGATGATGATGATGATGATGATGAAGAAGAAAAGAAACCGAAGCAAGCTCCTATTGTCAAAACGCCTGCTAAAAAAGAATCTAGCTCAGAAGAAGAGTCTGAAGAAGAAGAAGAAAAACCTAAACCTAAGCAGAAACCAGCTGGCGTAGGCGAGAAAAGAAAGCGCGAAGATTCTGAAACGAATGGAGTAGCGACACCGGCCAAAAAAGCTAACTACAGTAATTTCGTAAAAGCTAGCAACGACGGAAGCACAGAAAAGGTAACGTGATGTTTTTTGATTTATTTTATTGTTTATTATTTTTGAATATTTTTTTAACAGTCCTTAAAAAGATTAAAAATAGGATTTTGAGAAAGCATTGATCATTAATGTACACTTTACACTTTAGTCACGAAAAAATGTACCTTTCCGACGTGTCAAGGATGAGGAGATCAAGTTGAGCCCACAGTTGGCTAACAATTCATTTGAAGCTAAGGTAAAATTGAAGATTAAATAGAAAAGATGCAATGAGAAATACAGGTCACTCACTGCCCCGTGAAAGTTAATAATAATTAAAAAATTCATAATTACAGAATATTCCTGACAGCGATGAATGCTTTTTCACAATTCTTGTTTATTTATTTATTTACTAATAATATGATTCTTTTTTTTTTTTGTGTATACTTTCACAGAGACAATGATTGACCTGTTATTTCTCTTTTGTGTTCTAGGATGGAGATGGAGAATCGAGTAACAACTTTGATAAACAAAACGGCGGTGGTCGTGGACGAGGCGGATTTGGTGGTAGAGGCGGCCGCGGTGGATTCGGCTTCCGCGGTGGCAGAGACGGCGATAACGGCGGATTTAGAGGCAGAGGTGGCGGATTCAGGGGTAGAGGCGGTGACCGTGGTCGTGGAGGTGGTCGTGGAGGACGCGGTGGTTTCGATAACAATAGAAAGTCTTGGGATAACAAAGAGGGTGGTGGGTTCAGAAAATCATTCGGTGGTGACGGTGATAGGCGCGGGGGTGGCAATAACTTCCGTGGCGGTCAACGAAAATCATTCGGAGGCGAAAGTAACAAGTCATTTAATTCAACACCGACTCAAAATAAAAAAATAACATTCGACGATTAAATTAGCCGTAAAATAATTATTAATCAATTAAGATAAAATATATATAGATTGTAATTTTTTTTTTATTGACTCGCAATTCTCCTCGTTATACTAGAACGCAAAAGTCATTTTGTGTTTAATGACATTGATCTTTATGTATATTTCTATTAGTTATATTTTTTTAATCATTTTATAAATATATATATTGTTTTTTTTTCTCACACTCAGCGAGGAGCACGAGGATCATGGGGAGAAAAAGCAAATATCGATTTGAAACATACGAGAGGTAAATCATTTCGTCATGAAAAAACTAAAAAGAAACGCGGTAGTTATCGAGGTGGACAAATAGACATGACTGTAAATTCAATCAAGTTTGATGACTAAGTTTGTAATGTTAAAAATTTATACTTATGACTTCGACGATGAACACAATAGCTACATTAAAAATATTTTATATCTTAATCTATTAATTGATACAATCTTTTTTTTTTTTTTTTCTTTTACTGATAGATACTTTATTACGTATATTTAACAGAACTTTATAAATATAAAGTTATCTTAGAATTAAATTTAATTGTATTAAATAATAAATAAGATTTTGCATCTTCTGTGACTACTGATGCAACACATTCAACAATTTTATAAAATTATCAGTAATTAAAATATTGTAAGATTATTCGTCTGTTTGTTTGTTAAGTAATAATAATAATGAATAAGTATAATAATATTCTTATCTTAAACATTAAATGCATCTTATTAATTATTTTTGTAATAATTTTCTTAATGAAAATTTTATTTAAAAAAAAAGATGTTTGAGAAAACCTAACGATGACTATAAATGTGAATGACTAAAACATTATAAAGAAATTACATTAAATATAAATAAAGATAAAAATAAAAACAAATATACGAGCGTACTATAAATAATAAATTTCCTTTTGTTAATTTAAGAATTTAAGAGGGTAATAAAAAATAAAATAATAGAATGATTTAGTGCAAAGAATTCTTCGGGAGGATGCATCGCTGGAGAAGAAAGAAAGGTAATATAACAAGAAGTGATATATCCTGCCAAACTGAAGAGAGTTGATTCCCCTACTATAACCATCCTTTTTCACCTTGATTCTTGGTAGCTTTTTCACTCACACAGTCGTCGAGAGATAGCAACCACGGTGTTCCTTTACTCACGGCCGATCCTACAGTCAACCTCTGAGTATCCACCTGCACGGACGGAGGTGCTCGACCTCACGGTGATATCCGGTGTAGTGACATGAACGGCATTGCGTGATTCTTTACTTGTTTTATTGCCTTTAATTTCGTCAGGCATTAATTGTTCTTAACTTTGATCATCTTAAATTTTTTACCGAATTTTCATTAATTTATTATTTTATTATTTATCAGATTGTTTTATAGTTGGTAAAAAAATTATTTATGACAATGTTATATTTAACGGTGAGTTTAATATTTTTTTTTAATATTAATAATAATTAATATTCATATTAAAAGGAACAAAAGCTAATTTAACAAAATAAAATCCAAGTAAGTTAAGACAGTTATAAATATGCATGAAGAATAAATTTGGGAACTCTCGGATAGGAATTTAAAGAATGCGGGGGAAGAAGAATCAGCGCGGAATTTGAGGGTGGGTGGTTTTATTATTCACCAGTAAAAGTAATGACACGGTTAAAGTAACGCTTTAAAATATTTTGCTTGCTGAATACTTTTTTAAAAATATTTTTGATTATTCAAAAAATTAAAAAAAAATATTTTGATGGTATCCCGTTAGAAAGGTGACCCGTTGATTCGAGTTAAGAATTGCCTAGTTGTACCGTTAGTCGTTTTACTTACGGCCACGTGATATAAAAAAAATATAAATAAAATGACTAGTTTAAAGGGGCGGATAGTTTCTGAAGGATGTAATAAGTACACATCAAATTAAAAAAAAAAAACTCGACATATAACAGCTTTATCATTTTTTTTTTTACAGATCCAGAGTTTGCTCAGGTTTTTCCTGTTTGCTTTAGTATGCGGGTGTTACACGCAAGCTTCGAAAAAATGTTCTGCTGGAGGACTAGACCTCAAATACGTAAGGGGAGATGCATTGATCGACTCTGCTGATTGTCTTGGCCCTAATAATGCACCGTATCCATCGTGAGTAAACAATATATATAATTTTAGATAGTTTACTTGCTCAAACTATTATATCAGTGATAGTAAACATAGTACCCACATTTATTCTTATCTTTGGTATGTTTTTATATTGATTCAAACAACTTTCTTCCTATGTTCTGTTGTTGACGTTTCAAGTTTAAATTTTTATTCATCATTTCATCAATTTATGAGTTATTACAATTTTTTTTAATGAAAGGGTCACTTCATAGGCGAAGAAAAACTTCTACAGGAGTTTTATTGAAAAAATTATTTGATTCTAAAATATTTGAATAATTTCAAGTTCATTGACCTTTTTTATGATTTAAATATTTAACTCAAAGAACTTAAACTAAATTTTCCATATATTATATTTTTTTTTTTTGTAAAATTTTGAAGAATATATTTAAAATTATTTACAAATATTAAAATATAAATTTTTGTTTTTGCAAATTTTTTAAACAGTAATAAAATATTTTCAACTTACATCATTTTTAAAAAAAAAAATGCAAATAATCTTATTTAATTTCACGCTTTTTGACATTAAAGAAGAAATGATGATACTGCAAACTGCAGATGTCTGACAATTTTTTTTTTTTTTTTTATATATAAGTGAAGTAACTGTTAATAGAAAAAGTTATTTAAAAGTATACATAAAATTTTTATGAAGTTATTTAGATGTATTTTATCAAAGTAATGTTATTTTTTTCTGTTGACATATAATTAATTTTTTTCAAAAAAATTATTCAATGTTGACTAATGCAAAATTGACAAAAAAAATTTGAATGGAAGTTTTTATATATTGTTAAAAGTATAAAAATTATCAGAGTTTTATAATCCTGAAAATTCCACTGGAATTTTTATAAATTGAAAATGTTTGCTTAAAATTTGTATACAAAAAAAACCATAAATAATATTGATACAAATAATGCGTGATATAAATTTAATATAACTATCTATTTGCTGAAGGAAGTAATTTTTTTTTTTACTGTCCTAGGACTTTTCCGTAAGATACAGTGAGAAAGAAATAAAAGTAAAAATTTTATTACAGAGCGGCAATTGAAAAAAGTTTGAAGAGCTTCTGGGGAGGAAGCAGCCGAACCGGAAGGGCATATCATCAAAACCGAGTAGCAGATCCCGAGTTGACTAGACAAAAGCTCTTACACAATTATAAACTATCTCACGGTGATTACACCGTCTCCAGTGTGCGGAACGGTAAGTAAAGTAAAGCAAAATAAAGTAAAGTAAACTCGATGAGCCAGGATGACTTTGCTTGTACGTAACGGTATTGCCCAATAACCAAGTAATGTTTGTTTGATCGTACGTACCAGCTCACTACACACTACATACTACATACTACTCTCAATTCACACAAGCAAAGTATTATATCTTGGCAATACAGTTATTAACTCGAATGCTGGAGTCCCTCAGAAAATAACGGGATGCATGAGTTGATGCTGGCTTCTGTATTCTGTATTGCTATTATGAGTTTGCTTATCCGACATATCATATGACAGCTAATTACACAACATACTTACCCCATTAAACATATATAATTACTGTAGTAAATGAATAATAATAATAATAATAATAACAATGGGGATTATTTTGCAGGTCGGAGCTTCAGCTCAAAAGAAACATGCGGATCACCAGGTCGGCTTTGTAAAACCCGGTACAATACAACAGCACCGATGTACGGGGTCAGTCTCACCAGCGGACAACCAGTTACCATTGTACAAAAATTTCCCGACCTACTGCAGCAAGTTGTCTTCGAGGTTTGCGAGTGAGTGTGCGCTTATTGCTCATGTTCCACTTTATTTTAACTTTAACAACCAATATTGAGATTCTTATCGTGGATTTGCATTTACATTTGCTTATAGATCCAAGGAATGTGACGTGGTACATGGTGAGTGTACTCAAACTTATGTCCCATATTTGTTCTTGGTGATACCGCTTGGCCCGGTGACACTCACGGGTCAGGATTACGTGCTCGTCGAAAGTGGTTGCGTGTGCAAGCCCAGAAATTCATTGACTACCAGCTCCGAAGCACCCTTAGTACCTAACTTGTAATATATTTATTAAGTACTAATATTATTAATTAATTAATAATAATTATTATTATAAATATATATATATTTATAATTATAAATTATTTGAACAAAAAAAAAGACAAGGTGGCAAAGGCCTTTCTGTGAAAGGGACACTTTAGTTTTGACAAAGGCTGTTTTACTCTCTTTTTCTTTTCTTCCCTAATCTTGAGATTATTGCTTTTAAATGGTCGCGCTCAACTAATATCTTTGTTGGCTTACAACAATGTTGCTTAGTTGTTAATGACTATGATGATAATGGTAATGATGATGATGATGATGATCGTGGTGATAGCGAAGCGCGGTTCTTGACCCAAACAATCTTTAGAAGGAGGATCACCGACGCGTATTTCCCACGTTAAATTCACTCCTCTATGAATTGCTTTGTATTATAACTTATAACGGTCTAATCGTGGAAATTGCAGCGATAATTCGCAACAATATAAAAATATAATAATAATAATAATAATAATAAAAGACCATGGGAAGGTCAGAAAAAGAGAGAGAGAGAGCCATTATAATTTATTTATCTTTGGATTAGATGATTCTTGTAAATTCTAAAATGAGATCGCATAATTTTAGTGTTGAACAAAAGTTAAAAGGAAGAAGACGAAGATGATATGAAGAAATGAAAAAAAAAAAAAAAAAAGTAGGAATGGAAGGAATGCATGATGGGTGGAATACAATTAGAGGTGATTAAATAAGAAAATGTTGAATGTATAGAAAAAAAAAAAAAGTAAACAAATAACAAGACTGCGATAGGTAAAAGTTGAATTGTGTCAATAGTATGGACAAAATCATCAAGTCAGGTCACATGTACGCTACTGGCCCGGTTATTCTAAAACCGGATAGTTGATGAGAATGCGAGGGGACTGTTTCTTTAATTGTGTGACGATACCGCGCCTTTGAACATTATAATTTATAATAAAAAGTAAAGGTATTAAGGAAGGAAGAAAGACAAGTTTGATCCCTTACTTTATTTAAAATCAACTATTTACGTGTAAATCTGACTGGATAATATATGACTAGACATGTGTCTCTGCATAGATTTCTGTGTAAGCCTCGAATGAATACATATCGTACTACGAATTCCAATGAATGTAATCAACCGTTAGTTTGCTACGGGATCGTTCACCTTGACTTACGCATCAATGCGATTCTGTGAATCATCTGGAGAACGTGACATTCAAAAAATTATTAATATTTATAATTTACAGCTCATAAATATATGTAGTCCACCCTATACATACATATATACAAATACAATTTATAATTGATACTTTTATAAATTTCTTCTTGATGTATTGTATTGTAAGAATTAATTTAATACTTAATATGTTTATTGTCTAATTAATAGAACTATTAAACTTTTTTTTTTTTGTAAGTATATTTATTGTATTGTTGCAAAAACATGAATTTATCTTTTTGCGATATATTTATAATTAAACGAATTAATTGTGCTAGCGTGTTAAATTTTTCATCGTAATTATTCATCATTTTGCACATTTAGTATAATAATAATCATAATAATATTATTATGAATCAATTGATTAATAATAATTATTAGCTAAAATTATAATTTCAAATACGTTAGATGAGTACTTTATTACAATCAAGACTTCATACAACTTTTGATCGAATTTGTTTTTGTTTTTATTTATTTGTTTTTTTAATTAATATAATTAATAAGCGATACTTTGTTCTTGAAACGTTCAGGGATCATTAATAAAATACTATTTCGTACAAAAATGTAGTTATGATATTATTGATATAAATATAATTTTATATATTCACCTAAAATTTTAATGAACATCAAAAGTAGTTATTATTTTTGTTTTTTTTTTTTAATTTTATTTTTCTTTAAAGTAGTTATCTAATCAGTAGCGTCTAGTTTATTGCGACAAATTATGGACTGAATTGATTATTCTTCCTTTATCTCAAGTCTAATTTTTTTACACAAAAACGATATATAAATAAATAAACATGGTACAAATATTATTAAACGTTTTAATTAATATAATATTAAATATACTCAACGGGATATAAATTGACAGGCAAGTTAATTTTTTTCTTTATAATCATATAAAATTAATAATGAATATAGAAAACAAAAATAGAAAATAAACTTGCCAAAGTCGCACCTAAATTGTTTGAACAATAATAAATCTATCGGTATAATAATAATAATAATAATTATAATAATAATAATGACAATTAACAATATTGAAATACAATCAAATGCAACAATTAAACATTCGCGATTACGCGCGCGATCGCTAGTATACGAGTCCAATGACTTATATAAATCTATATAATATAATATTAATCAATAATAATTAATAGTAATTAAAAAAAAAATTGATAACAAGCCTCGTGTTTACATATTAGCTCTATAATTACATCTTTGGAAAGATAATAATAAAACGCGATTATACTATTGAATATAACTGGCTGTCGATTAATAATAACACCAACGACAAATTGGAACCACAGATTTACTTTTTTGAGCTGCCTTTGCAGTTATAACGAATAATAAAATCATAAATATTGATATATATATATATATATATCGATTCCGTAATGTACGTGTACTAGCACGTATATTAGACTAGAATAGTGTTTGCTATTAATTTAATATAAGTTTAACTGATAATAACGTGTCGATAAATAATTTATCGGCGATGACTAATTTAGCTTAAAAATAAATTGAAACAAGTGCTGATTTTTTTTTTTACTCACCAAAACAATATTACGTTGACAGAACAATATATCAATTAAACAAATATATGAATAATAGTAATAATGTATAGATAAATAAAACAGATTAATTATTATCTGCTATTTGCTTACATGAATCCTATAATAAGTATGTATTGTACACGTACAAATGATAGTAAGAGCTAGTATATGATGATATATATATATTATAAGATGATGGTAGTGATATTACTCGCGTCGATTATTTAATGAATATTAACTGACAAATACGCCCCAATAAATTTTTGCACCACTCGAGGCACGTACATCATTACTAATTATCGATCTTCTATAAAATTAATTTTACGTACTCGTTTATTCTTAAATCTATTAAAAACATAATCAGTGTATAATTAATAACTAATGACAAAATTTGAAACAACTCGATTCACTATTTACAAAACGATAAACACTAGAAACTTAATAAACCGTATGGCTTTATGAGAGAAAAAAAAAAAACAGAAATATAGTTCATGGCACTTAGACAAATGAATATAATTATTTTTTTTTGAATTAATTATATCATTAAATCCGCCTGCAAATGGCACAACTTTAATGATACCATTTTTTTTGCTTATTATTTTTATTATCATTATACCGTATATCAGTTATCACTTTCAGCGTAATCATCGCTATCTCCGCTGTCGTAATTTTGATTTTTCGAATCACGACGAGATTCACCGGTGTCTTGATAATTTTTAGTGTAACCATCACGTTTCTTATTTCGGTCATTTGACTCCTCTGGTAATGTATTTATAGTTGTAAAACCATCTTCATCTATTCCGTTATCATACATCCTGTAATCATGAGAAATTTTAGATTGTTAAACAATTTAATAATTTTTTTTTTTTATTATAAATATAGAATAAGATAATTTACATTTGATCGTTTTGTTCATTTCCGCTTTCCTCAGCAACCAGTAACTCGTACTCATCAGCAGCAAATCGATCCCAATCTGAGAGCTGAAGACAATAGAAAAGATAAGTGATGAGATAAGAAATGAAAAGATATTGATTTTTTTTTTCTGTCAACGTTATATTAAATATTCTTACTTCATGGCCTTCAGCGTCGTGATCTCTCGTTGAAGCAAAAGGATCTCGTTGTTCATGATCAAGATATTTTTCGAGATTAAAGAAAGTGTCAAAAAATATCGAAGTCATTTTACAATTTTTTAAGTCACTCAATGAAATTTTTCCAGGAATTTTTGGCTTTATCATATCGAGCATCTAAAATAATTGAGATATTTATGAGATTAACATTAAAAATTAACAATAGTCGATGATAATAAATATAGTATTACGTAAAGTAAATTACCTGACAAAGACAATCTTCAAATGGTAGAGTTTCCAATCCAATGGCCTCCATACGAAGTAATTGTTCTTCGTAGAAATACTCAAGTTCATACATAGAAAGGTAGCCATCACCATCCAGATCCATACATCTATTGCAATAAGTCAAAAATAAAAAAAAAAAATTGTATTATAACACGATGTTCTTGTTTGCTCTATTTATTACAATCTATTAATTAAATAAAGTTAAAACGTGCAAACAATGATAAATACCTAAACCAATATTCGATGGCAGTAGGATAATTTTTATCCTCCTCACTAAGCAGAAACCATACAAACTCGGTATAACTCATTTTTTCTTCTTGCAAACGTACTTCACCATTTTTGCCTCTACCTCTTGTTACAGCACCGCTAAATATTCTTTCTATCAGTCTCGTTGATAATGCTTTAAAATAAATAATAAAAATACCATTATTTTATTCGTAATAACATACTCAGATAATGTCTACTACAATTACAATAATAAATGGCAATGTAATCATACCGTGATCATTGTGCCGAGTTAAGTCCATTTTGTTGATAAATAAATCGTGGTCACGATCAAGTTCCCAGAATTTGCAGTATATAACGTAAAAGTGTTCATAGCTGAAGTAGGACGTCACCTGGTTTATATCTTCTTCGTGTTCTAGAATACCAATAACAGCCAACAAGTTGCTACGTCGTAATTCCGTAACGGATATTTTCCCGCTCCAACTACGATTTACACAGTAAAATATTCTAGCAATTACTGTGTGGACATATCGAGAATGAAATTCCGTAGCTTCTTTAAGGAAAGTTAATCCTGGATGAGTATCAACAACATCTTGTACCATAGCAACAAGATCTTCTGGTAGTATATAATTTCTCAGACCACGTGTGGTTATTCTTATAAATTTACTAGCTGGATCGTGATACGATTTGTTAATTCTAAAAAATTACAAAATATCCAATGAATATAAATAGACTTAATAAATATTTAAATATAAACTATTACAACATTTAAAATAATAAATATTCTTACTCTTTCCAAAATTCAATGAAATTATTCATTTCAACAGAAGTTGTTGCGTCTCCACCTGCTGCTAAGAACAGCGGAACTTTCAAGTAAAGTGGCAGTTCACAAGCTTTTGTAATAATATTAAACTGTGAGCGTGAAGCACGATGTCCTGGGAGATTCTCAAAGGCTTTACTTATTTTTGCAATCGTTGCTTCCAGTTGTGTGGGTGGAGTAGGCTTACCTCCGGGGAAATAAAATCTGCATGAAAGTAAATATTGCATTACATCTATTGTATAACTTTCATTAAAAGAATAAAAGATAAATAGCTTATAGAAAAAAAAAAAAAAAAAAAAAAAAAAACAATTACCTGGGTATACGGACGTTTTTGTTGGCCTTAACATGCCGCTGTAGAGTTGTATGAGGTGGCAAGGCTCTCGATTGTTGTTGTTGTATTCTCTCGCGCACATAAGAAGACTGTGGTTTGCCATCATTGGAATTGAATCTCGAAGACGGGCCTCCAGGCTGTCGTGGACCACGTTTATCAAGTAAGAGTTCACTTGGACACTTTTCAAAAATCAAAACTCTCTCCGCGACGGATCCTCGAGTAAGAAAAGGTCGTACAGGATTGGCATTGTTTCCCGCTGAGCTTGAAGAATCTGTAGCCGCAGCGGCAGCTGCAGCAGCTCGTATATGTTGCTTTTGTTGGTTCGTGAGTTCAGGATGTGGTACTTGATCAATCCTAGGTCTGGGTGACGTGATCCGGGGACCCCATTTAGACGCGACTATTTGAACTTCACGATCTTCTTTAACATCCTGCTGAGACTGTCGTTGTTGCTGCTGCTGCTGCTGTTGTTGTTGTTGTTGTTGTATAGAATTTTTTTCTATTTTTTCTACTACCGTGTTGGTAGTAGCTTTACGTTCGTCAATTTTTTTGGCTTGTTGAATTTGCTGTATAAATTGCGACGTACGCTCAAGAACAACGCCATTCGTCATGAGCTTAGGTTTTTCTTTTTTAATAGCGGGTTTTTGTCTTACAGGAACTGGCGAACTTCCATCCTCATCAATAACAACTCCTGTCTTCAAGGCATTAATAAGCCTCTCTTCTTCACGCGCAACTTCATCAAGATAGGAGGAAGCTACGGTAGCTTTGGAGGCATTGACCCGCGCCACTACGGAAGAGTCGGTAAACAATTTATTTTTAAGAGGCCAGGTCGTCAAACCTGAACTTTGATTCGGCCTAGACAATTCTCCGGCAGCTGTATTGGTGGGCGTTGTTGTATTTAGTAAAACACTTAACGGACGTTTTGGCTGGTTTGTTGTACCATTTCCAGGCAAGTCTGCCGGCAGTATAGTTTCGATAGTCTCGCCAAGCGAGGACGGTGATGCCAACGGCGACGACAAAGACGACTTAGTAGCTATTTTCGGTCTTGTCTGCTGCTGCTGCTGCTGCTGCTGCTGCTGTTGCTTTTGCTGTTGCTGATGTTGCTGCTGCTGCTGCTGTGTATGTCGAATATTATTCGTCACATTACCAGGTGAATTACGCTCAAATCTTTCCAGAGCGGACTGTATGGAAGACGGAAGATTTTTACTTATATAAGAGGATGTACGTTGTTGCCGTGCCTTGTCCTCAACGACAAAATTATTAACTAATTTCTCCAGAGTGTTATTGTTATCCAGTCTAGGTGGTGGCGGACTGTAAGACTGTCCGGCAGCACCTACTTTAAGAATATTTTCGAGCTGAAGTCCTCGCGAAGTCGGCGACAATGTCGGTGTCAACGCACTATCAAACTCGTCAGCGGCGGTCGCGCTGTTGTGACAATTAAATATTTCAGCGGGCGCAAGTCCACGACTCTTCCACGACTGATAAATCGCTTCTGCGTGATCACTTATCTGTTTAGCAATAGCAGCAATGTCTTCTTCACCCGAGGACTCGCCCGGAAACTTTTGTCTTAATTCATGCTTGGCTGTTGCAGCCATTCTTTTATTTACGTTATCAATTAGTCTCGATTTTGAGCAGCGGTGCGCTCTCTAAGCCGATACGGAGTTGCAGTACCGAGTAACTGGCATACTCGCCAGTCACTCCACGACGAGGACGACGACAGCGTAAGCATCAACAATGACGCGTTCATTGTCTGTTTCATTTATTGTTGGTAGTTTTTTTTTCTTTGCTCTGCTTAAACAGCGCAAACAGCTGTCCCACTCCGTAGCAGTCTATTTGAGCAGCATCGTTATGGACCTTTAAGCTCTTTCCTCATTTATCATAATATCTGAAACATACAACAATGCCATATTTTAACTAATAGTCAACGCATACCAACACTATTACCTTAACATTACATTACGTTAACTTGGTCTTTACAAATAGATACACAGATACATGGCCTCGCCTCAACCTCAACGACATATATATATTTCAATACTAGAATGTGTATGTAGTAAAAGAGCCTATACTAACTAAAAATAGTACTCTTAACTATTCGTTCAAACACCGTGTGAACCGGCAGATAAAATGGTGCAGTTGCAAGTCACTCAGTTTTTGTTATTACTATTATTATTATTATTTTGTTATTGTTGTTATTATTATTATCAACATTAAGCATAGCAACTATAATACATATATCATGAAACCAGTACCTAGTGGTACTACTTGTTTTCGTCAATAAATTTAGCCTTCCTTTTATTTATTATTTTTATTTTTATTTTTTTTTATTATATCTGCCTACCATAAAGTATACGTTTATGTATTATTATATTTGTGTAGGCAGAAAATTGATCGCTGGTTAAATTATCATTCATGTTGACGTGATATCTAACTATTCTCTTTCTGTGTCTTTCTAGAAGTATATACACATACTACTTGGTTAAATCCAAGAGGGAACTCGTGTCCGGGCCAAATTTATTTCTGGACGACACTCGTGTTTAGTTTCTTCTTTCTTTGACCCCTTCTTTCTTTCCGTATTGCCTTTTTAAACATTTTATTTATTATTTTTATTCTATCCACCACGTGTCTATCAACAAATGTCTAACGATAGTCAGACATTTATACATACATGTATATATTGGGTATGATTTATAAGTCATAGAGTAAGTTTTTATTATCAAAACTCATTGATATTCCCGCAGTGGCAAGATGGATTTTCGCAAGCTAACTAATATAACGTGGGTTGATATATGAAAGAACCTCTTACTCTATACTGCATAAATATAAAATATACATTATATATACTTATATTTATATGTCTTCCTTTAATAATACATACATTTATATATTATGAAATATTTAATTAATATTAATAATGTTAACCGTGGGTCACTGCTATTTGCAATACGCAGCGAACGTGGGAAAAAGATAGAAAGTGAAATTGATTACCAAGTTTGCTAAATACTTTTGCTAATTTTTTTGTAGTAAAATTTAAAAAGAGACTTTCCATTTCCTTTTTAAATTAAAACAAAAAAAAATTGTAACTATTTATATTACCGTAATTTTTTATTATCTGTATCGTGAGCGGGATATTTATTATGCCTAGATGGTAAAAAACCTCGAGAGTGAATTCCCTTTCTTTCGTATATACCTACTTCCACCGTTATGATCACGTATAATCAAGCAAACAACTCGGCAAACTCCGTGTAACGTCGCTCGTTTTCGAGCCTCCTGTCTAAGAATAAAACTACGTGCCGCCGTATTTGGCAATGCACGACACGATGTTGAGGCCAGAGTACCATGCCACTGAGTGCCACAGTACAGTAGAGAAAACCAAGAGTCACGTCGTCCCCTTCATACTCATCATCATCATCATCGTCATCATCATCGTCAACAGTAGTCACTCACTCACTCCGTTTCTATGTCTTCTATAATTTTATATGCCTATGCCTTTATCTCTATCTCCATCTATATCTACATCTACATCCATATCAATATCTAAATTTACATCTTTATCTTCATCTTCGTCAATGTATCTACAAGATCTTCACATTATACATACTAATACAATAGACCACTAACAACATTATTCTCAAGTGAGCATAGTTCGACAGACTGACAATTGACATCTAATGTGGGTTGATACATAATAACAAAGAAAATACACGATAGAATAGTACTAGTATGGTATAGATTACAAGTAAAGAGTAACACCATCAGGCATATAGCGGCATTGATCAACGTGTTGAGGGAGTGGCTCTACTCGGGCATCGATCGACTGTCATTTAATGCCATTTAACAATTTAGTTTCTCCTTACTCAACTTTTATTAATCTGAAAATAAAAAAATATTAAATTACAATAAATCTTTCATTTATCCTTAGTATAATAATGTTATAAAACTGAACGTAGTAAGTAAATAATGTAAAATGAATGGGCGTAGAGAGCACACGCTGTTGGATCAATACTCCTAGATGCATTGCTGATGAGATGCTAAGGCCAAGGCAACCAGCAGCTTCTTGTTTATTCATAACAATCTCCTTCAAGGCTTATGCCATACCTTTTCGTTTTTTTTTCTTTTCAGTGTACTTGATGTCTACTGTACGTCTTTCACTTTTTAATCTCTCTTACAGTTAATCTGAAGTTACTGAGATTTTGAGATATTTAATTGTTATTGTAAGAACCTGCCCTCGTATGTAATGATGATGATGATAATAATAACAATAATAAAGATACAATAAATGAGACTTGACAGCCTCAACCTCACGTTTTCATTGAAGAAGTATAAAAAGGTATAAAAGGATGTCATTTGCCATATAGATGAGAAAGTGAGAGCTTATTTTCTCGGCAAGTTTTGTTACGTACATACGCTTTTTTTTTTATATACGTACAATATTTATGTGCATGTAAGTATGTACATATTATATTCTTGTTACAGAAAAAAATAGCGAAATATATAAACGACGAGTGAAACCCGGAGCTTGCCGAGCTTTTCCGTCAAACGACGAGAGAACCCATTATATTACATTGAAACATTGGGATCTTGCCAATTTTATAATCCATCTCTCTTTTTGTTGGTATCTTTCACATAGTTTCGATGTTCTATCGGTTTATACAGCCAAACAGTATCTATATAAATATATAATATATAATTTATCAGCACGATTTATAAATTTATTTTGTTATTTTTGCCTTTTAGTTTTGTCATCACTAAATAGGACAGAAATAAATTATAGGTGTAATTTAAAGATGATGATGATGATGATATTGATGTTGTTGTTTTTTGTTCAATAATTATTATGATGACGATCAATTTTTTTTTTTAAATCTTACGTTGTAATTGGATGTTGATGAATACGTATTAAAGTCGTACAAGTATAAATGTTAATGATCCGAAACCAGTTTGTAATCATTATTAAACTAGAACTAGTTTTATATAGGTATAGGTATGTAAGAACAGACAAGATATGTTCTAAGGCTCCTGCAAAAAAATCGATCGCATACAATTCTACTTAGAATCTTGAGATGTTTTAAGAATATCAAATATTATTGACGTCAAGTTTCAATAAGACACTAGATAATAAAAAAGAAAAAATAAAACTATAGGTATAAAAAAAATTAATATATTAATAAAATAACTTGTGTGACAAAGTAAATTGATAGAAGCTTATTTATACTCCAATAAACTTACCAGATAATAATTAGAATAAATTTCGATGATGGTGAATTTACAACAGCTAACTCAACAAACTAAATCGACGATGTCACTGTTTAGTTAAGTGATTAATTAATTAAAATTCACAAATGAGTTTTTAATAGAAAAAAAACGTTCATGTGTAAAGAAATAAATTTTTAATTTCTTTAGTTTAAAGAAATAGATATTTATGACACTAAATTATGATAATTTAACACAAATTTAATAGATAAATATTTAGAGAGTTATGTAAACAAAAAAATAAGGTAAAAAATTAATAGGAAATAGAGTTGATTAGATTATGAATTTATATAAACGTAACGTGTAATATAACAAAGTCTCTACAAACGACACTGGTAAACTGAGAAAACCGCTAATGGTTGCGAAGCGCGAAGCTCTTTCTCTCGCTCTCGCACGTAAAAGAGAATCGAGGGGAAAATATCGAGACGACCAACCGCTACGACTCATTGGCTTACGAGATTCCAGTTGTACTATTGGCTCAAGTATTTGGCGGCTCTTATAGTTATTTTTTGAAAAGGTACAATTTTTTTTTTTTTTTTAAATCAATAAGTAAATAAATCTGATTTGTTTTTTTTTTTCTTACCATAATATTTATTTTATAAAAAAGGAAAGGAAAACAATGGATATTTAAAATTTATCGATTAATTGTAGAATATGTTGTTGTTCTGTTTCTCTCCACTCTGCATCTCCTGCTTCACCGAGATTTCCTGCGTACTCTGTAAAATAAAATAATAAATTATTATTAATGTTTTTAGAAGATTAATTTTTTAAAAATCAAATTAATTATTTGCTGACTAAATACCTCTCATGATATGCCTGATTGTTTTAAGTGATGCACGACGTTGGGATAATATTCGGGTGACACGTTGTTTGACTGCTGGAGGACAACCAGCACAAGCTTCTAATAATATATAATCAACTAATTGTAATGTGTATAATCCATTTTCTAATCTTTTCAAATAAGATTCTTCTTCATCGTCATCTTCCTGAAATTCAATCATTTTTATTAGTGGACATTAATAATTAAAAATTGAAAAATAATTTTTTAATAAATAAAAAAACTTACCTTAGCGTTACTTTCAACTTCTTCAACTTTTTCCAGATATTTAAAATGTAGTTCCATCAAACGATCAACTTTTTCATAATCATTTTCTGTAAATTTACTGAGCAATCTTTGACGTTGTGGACCTTTACAATTTTTTAACATACTTGCAATTATAGAAACAACATGTTCTTCGTGTTCCTCGGCAGTAAAAATTTTTTTACGATTTTTTGAAGGCGTTTTCATAAAGAGAGGAAATATTGTACGGAGGCCAAGAATATCAACGAATTTAGAACAATTATCTTTACCATCTGGACCATTCATAGCGTGATCGAGAACTTTTAATGATCCATTACGGGACAATTTTTTTTCTCTTAACATCAAATTCATAAGCTGTAAGCCCTCACCCCGTAGAAATCTGTCTCTATTAACAGTTTCCATCAAACTGGAGCATAAAACATTGAACAAATTTTCCATCATTTCTTGTTCTTCAGCTGTTTGTGGATCATGGCGCTTGTAGTAAGCCAATTGTTGTAGCAAAACATCGATTCCATCGAGATCACCTAATAATAATTTATTTTCAGAGCTATTTTGCAACAGTATCGACAATATTTCACTGGCATATAATTTATTAACATCAAATGGTAGTTTGGCTTTAAGACGGCGAAGCAACCATTGCAACAGTCCTTGTTTGCCAGCATCGACACACAATTCTGGCCTGAATTCCAAGAGATTTTCAAAAATAGCTACAAGGATATTTTTCTATTAATATTCTATTGCTAATAAAATTCATATATAAATTACGACATTAATAAATTACTCAACAAAATACATGTAAATAAATGAATTAGTTCATAAGTATAATTGTTACCTAAAGTATTGAACACGCCGTCACCCTCTTCTTTAACAGTTTCATCAAGTCTATCGAGGTTTTGTACCAGCAAAGCAGAGACTTGTTGGTCTAGAAGAGCATCAATTAATGCATCAGCTCCTTCTTGGCTCTCCTGTAAAACATCAGCGTCCGTTAAATCTTGCAACAGATCAACTACCCCCACAGCAATGTCGGTATTTTCATGAGACAGTAATTCGAGTAATGAAGGAATTGCTCTCAGTTCGACCATCATTGGATACAAATCTGGGTTAGTTGAGACTATATGAAGTTCTTGAAGTGTCTCATGTAATTCAACTTCCGATTCCATGAATCTAAAAAATACAAACCCAAATTAAATACTGTATAATTAAGATAAATAATGAATAAAATTTAATTATTTAAATATAATTAATTAATTACTTTTCCGGTTGATCGGGAAATTTAACGCGCATTTCCTGATTTCTAAATGCTCGCTTTTCAAATAGCAGAACCATCCGTTTGAGATTGGTTTCATCAAGCGCTTCAAATTCTGGGGTTTCAGTCTCAACAAGTTTTAAAATTTCAGCTTTTTGTTGCTCGGTTAATTCAGGCTCTACCATCTCATTAACACTTGATTCTCCTGCTCGTGATGGATTACGCGTCGGTGTAGGAGGTTCAGGTTGACTTCTCACGGGAGTCAGTTCAACCTCACGAGTATAACTTTGTCGTGGATGATAAGGAGTTTTATTTATTTTTTTCTTTTTGCTATTTTCCCACTCATCTTCATCTTCATCTTCGTCTTCATGATTACGTTTTGTCGTTGATGGAGGCTGTAAATTATTAAAAAATAATTATCAACATTCACAATTGAGGTTAAGTATGTCGGCTTTTTGTTTTAAATAAAGAATAATAATACTCACTTTATAAGACAAGAGTTCTCCTACATCCATTTTAGATAAAAATTATGTATGCAGTAATAAATAGCAAAGTTACAAATTTTTTATAGTACGTTTATTGATTGTAAAAATGATTTATTTTTCAAGTGTATATAAAATATAATTGTTTTGGAGCTATGAGTAAAGAATAAATAAATACAACCAGCTGTTTTTCAGCTTTCGTGAAATTCCTCAAGTTTAATGATGGCGCTATTAACGTGTTTGCTCCGACTGCAAGAGCATGGCAATAGATAGATATATAATATTACACGTCACTATAACATCACCACCTTATTAATTATTTTAACTGTGAATAATAAATTAAACTTTTATATTTAATAATCAATAGTAAGCAACGAGAGAAAATGGAGGCACTTTATCATCAAACAAATAAATTAATCCAAGAAACTCAGCATTTATTCACGCAGCTGGACAGACCTTTACCCAATGTTGATGTAAATACTGTTGAAAGTGAAATACTTGCTAAAATAAATTTAATAAATAGGTAACTAATTATTATTTATTTATTTACTTACTTCTAAATCATTAAAATTATTTAATTGATAGTATTTATATGTTTGTTATTAATTTTATTGTTTTTTTTTTTTTTTTTTTTACTAGCAATTGTGAAAAATTGGACGTACTATGTATGAAAGGCCCAATAACCCAACGACAAAATGCTAAAATGAGAGTAGATCAATTGAAATATGACAGTAGGCATTTAAATGCTGCTTTAAATTCATGGAGAAGTCAACAGTATCGTCGTAAACAAGAGGAAGAAGAAAGAGAGGCACTTTTATCCCGTCAATTTACCACCAATGATCATATTGATATTATGATTGATCACAATATTCAACACAATTCTCAAGTGAGAAATGCAAACGAGGGCATTGATAATTTAATTCAACATGGTTCGGGTATTTTAGAAAATTTAAGATCACAGAGAATGACTATCAAAGGTGCACATAGACGTTTAATAGACATTGGTAATACTTTGGGTTTGTCAAATACGACGATGCGATTAATTGAAAATCGTGCACGTCAAGATGGTTTTATCTTAGTCGCTGGTATTGTTATTACATGTATAATTATAACACTTGTTATATTGTATATGACATGAACTTTAACTTATTAAATTAAATATTACCACTATTATTTATTATTATAATTATAATTATTGTTATTTATGTATATTATTGACATTCCTTAATTAAATTATAATCTTTGTACATATTGCATTAATTTAAGAAGAATAAATTTAAAATGATGAATTTTTCATTTGAAATTTATACAAAATATTTTTATATTATGATTGCTATTTAATGTTAATGTTATTGTTATTATTATTTTATTTAAGTGTATGAAATAAATAATATTTGATTAAGTCTTTTGAGATTCTAACGTTAATTGTGCAAAACAGGGAGACAATTGTTCCTGGTCATTTTCAGTTTGACAGGAAGTATTTGGATCACAAATTATCTCGTCTAAACCTCGACGCACCTGTATTCGTAATTGATTAGCGATTTTTTTAACAGCCAAATGATTCTGTTTTATTTGAGTGACACAGGTGATGAATCCATCCCAAGGTGACGCCGAGGTGTGGCTTAAATACAATTCTTTCCATAAATTGATACTGATTGGTGCGACACTAGGCCAAATAATTCCAAGATTAGGCTCGTACAATGGATTCATCCATTTTTCCAATGATTCTGGTCTATTTATATAAGTCCAAATACTGGTAGTACGTTCAGCCAAGCGTAAACTTACTCTATCTGATTCACAATCGCCTAAAATAATTCATTCAAAATTTTTAAATAAATTGATAATTTTAATAATACCAACAACTATTTTGATAACTTTTCCTTACCTAAAAATGTTCCATATCCAGAAAAGTAAGCATGCTTGAAAAGTTCAATAAGCATGTCAGTCGTATACTCAAAACTAAATTGAAATTGATAGTGCAATTGATAAAGACAGTCAAGAAAAAGAAGGAAAGTTGGAGCATGAGGTGAATGTTGTGAATTTGTGGGATAATACGCTCCATGTCGTGTTCTTGTATAAAAAGGATGTCCTGCTTGAAGCCACTCGCGTTCTACAAGAGCTTCAAAGCCTCTTATAGTTCTACAATCAGGATTTAAAATAATTTGTGCTATACTTGTAATAACAAGAGTCGAATCACGACCAGCGCCTCCTAAAAAAATTAAATTTGTATTTTTATAATACAGTAGATTTAAAATTGAACTACAAATTAATTTACCGTGGACTAGTACAGCTGCTAGCTCTTGATGAAGGCACTGCGCGGCAACGCAGGCAGCATTCATAGCACTCTGGACAGTTGATAACCATCCACTACTTTCTAATCTAGACAGCCATTGACTAGTAGAGCATGAAATATCATTACAAGCCTCTATTAATTTGCTAAGACTTTCAGCCAAATCTGAAAGACGAGGAACACTTTTGAAAACTTTTCGCCATTGTGGATAAGCAGAGTCTATTTCTGTTCCTCCACCTCTTGCTCGAGCACTTTGCGCTTGATTAGAGGATCGTGTGTCAATTATATATCTAATAAAGTAAAGAAAAAATAATTAACACTCTTTGATAAATCAACAATAGTGGATATTAATTTACAAGAATAGCAAACCCGCGTCTTCCAGCACCCAGGACAACATTCAACAGCCTCTCATCTTCTTTACATCTTTTTCCTGTAGCTCCACACAATGGTTGGCCACTTCTAAATAGAATACTCTGTAATTAAATAATTAATTAGTCATAAGTATTAATAACATAATTCAAATATACACTGAGAAAAAAAAAATTTTGTCCAGAATAAAATTTCTTGGCTCAAGAATCTTTTAAAATAAATTTTGGTTTTTTGACAAAAGAATATCAATATCTATCATGATAATAAAATATTGGCAATAATTTTGATAGATTAACAAACGAATAGATTCACTTGGATTAGACAAAAATAATTCGATCAATTCTTGAGACAAGAAAATATATTCTTGAAAATTATTAAGAATATATATTTTTGTGACAAGAAAACTTTCTCAAGAGTAGTACTTTTTTTTTCTCAGTGTAGGTAAAATTATTTAATAATAATTTATAATAGATAACATACTCCTCCTTCATGTCTGTAACACAACACTGGAAATCTTCCTCCTTCTCTAAATGCAGCTGATGATATTATCATTTGATCGTCAATTAATCGAGATACTACCATTGTCGATGGATATGAGTTACATACTTTGTAGTCGCGATTAAGATAACTTATTCTCCATTCATCTCCATGAGATGCCAGTAATTGAGACCATTCTGATACTGGAGTAAATGCAGTCCAACCATTTTCACTTTGGTTTTTATCGAGATTTAGCGTTTGTGGGCGAAAAAAAAATGGATATTGTAATGTTTGATCTGGAAATAAAAATAATAATAAAGTACTAGAGAAAAATGAATAAATAGCCTATGATATAATTATAGTTACCAAGTGATGAGAGTTTTTCTAAAGATGTTGCGATATTTAATAAATCATCGGTAGAAATAAAATCTAGTTGTAAAATTTTAAAATCTTTACACTTCAACACAATACTGCCACCAGGGATTTGATTATTAGTTTTTTTTTCAATAACGTCAACATTACGGTACAGTAACCAAAGGTCTTTGCGAAACTCCTCTCTGAATGACAGCAGAAGGTGGTGATCACTAAGACAAAGTGTTCCCTCAAGTCTTGATTGCTTTTCATTTTTTTTCTCTGTCAGTACTACACAACCGACTTTAGGGACGGGTATCATATCAAAAAATTCCATCTTTTATAATTATTATTTTTATAAAATATTCTTAATTATTACTATGTTAATTTATTTAAATAATTTAATTTAAAAACACACATTGACAGTAACATTTAAAATCATTGTTGGAATCAAAATCAAAATATACAAAAAGTAAATGTCAATATTTCCTTCGATTACACACTGGCCTGCTTCTCTGACAAAACATATGCGGCAAAGATTGACAAGGGTATAAGGGGAAAAGAGAGGAAGTATATATAGATATAGTAGTTTTAGCTTTCAGCAAGATATTACCACGGGTAGATTATTTTCGCGTGTGATAAAACAGTTTTATTCAATACTAAAAGATGGCAGTAACTGTTCAATTAAAATTGCCGAGTTTAGAAAAAAATTTTTAATTGTTAATATTAAAAAAATTTAATTTATTATTGGTGTAAGCATATTTTTAATCGGAATTTTATTTGGTAAGAATCAATAATAGATAGAGGCTTCTGAATTTTTAAGAGAAAAAATGCTAAATAGATAGGAATTTTCATAATTAAAATATTTATAGATGTAAATTTTTTATTACATTTTACATTTGAAATGTTTCTGTTTAATAACACAACAAGTCTACAGTTAGTATTTAAAATTATGTAAACATATTCATTACAATATTATTTATTTTGTAATATCTGTCGTTTTATTAATTAATAATACTTAAAATTACTTTATAACAAGATTTTATTTTTATAAATTGCGCGCACTTGGTGAAAAATACATCTCTTTTTTTATAATTTCTCTTTATGTAAGTATATATATTGTAAAATGGCCAACTATAATTTTTACTAATTCCAATGATTAAACCATTTTATAAATAAAAATTTATGATATTAATATTAATGCGCGAAATAAAAAATAAGCTTTTTATTTATAATTGAGGGAATTAAAATTAAAAGAATACAAGAAATAAAAATTTTTTTTTTGTTATTTTTTTAAAAAGCAACATTTCTTGAGTTCACTTATTAGTGTCCTCCTTTTTTCGTCATTTATACCTTATTAGGCCACCCTTTTAAACAATTATACTTCAAAAACAAATTATATTAAAGGGCAAAAAACTTAAATGTGATTATAGTTATGTCAAATTTAAATTATCCACCCAATTATCTGTACAATGGAAATGAGATAGTTAACTAGTTGGTTATTTAATTAACTAATCAATAATAAAAATAATAATAATAATTTTACTGATTCATTCTGCGGAGATTCATTAGCATTTCGAATCTCCGGTTAGATCTTACTCCTTTCAGTATCGTCCGCTTCTCTGTTTTTTTCTCTTCACTAAAATAAAAAAAAAAAAAAACAGTAATTTCATAAATGAGCTACAGTATTTAATTATTCATAATAAAAAAAAAAAAAAAATAAATAAATAATATATTTACCTAGTTTTAGTCGGCAATTTTTTATTGACTATTTTAGTAGCTTCTTCCTTCCTTACTTTATACCCAAATCTATTGAATACACCATTAACGGTATCACCTGGACTAACACCTTTGTCTGAAGCAGCTGGTACTTTTATCTGCCTACCTGCCGTTTTCAGAGTATTGGGTGTTACTAGCTTAGAAACACTTGTAGATGCTACTTGAAGATTATTTGTCAAGGTATTGTGACGAGTTTCAACTCTTTTCTTGGCATCTACAACAGATTCCATTTGCTCAAATTTTTTCTGATGTATTTGAGCAAAGTTTGGTACTTTTCTAGCAGACATTGGTTTTACTTCAGATTTTTTATCCGATTGCACTGAATGTCTAGCTCTGCTTAGCCTATTAACTGATTCATTCTGTAATGCTTTTTGAGCGGACCTGGACAAATCAATCGTCGAAAGCGAGCGTTTCTTGGCACTAGGTTTTGGTCTTGGTAGATTCGATAGAGAACTTGATCTTCTTCTAGGTGAAATTTTATTTGTTTTAGTTGGATTACGGATCGTCACAAAACCAGTTTTTTTCAATGTTGCTTTACCAGGAGTAGCTGTTCTTGTAGCTGTATCTTTAGTTTTCTCAGTAACAGCGGAAATTGAATTTACAGATGGACTGGCAAATCTTACTCGACAGGCTCGTTTTGCTCCTTTTTCATCAGCAACATCAGCAGCAATAATGTTGGTTTCTACTGCAGTTCTTTTTTTGCGCAACGCGGGTGTTTTTGGTTCATCCAATTCGTAGGTATCATTCCCAGATGTTTCTTCCTCTTCTTTCTTGTTCTTGTTCTTTTTCTTCTTCAATCCTGGTGTTTGGGGCTCGGCAAGTTCATACGTATTGTTAAGATTTTCATTGCTGTCTTCAGAAATCAATGAATCCTGTTTATCTGTCACAACATCTTGTTGTGATTGTTCAACAGTCTTGATGCCACTCAATTCAAAAGATTCATCGTCTGTAATCAACGGATTTGTTTCGTCAGCGATTTTAGAAAAAGTCGAATCATTATGAATACGAGTGGATGTTCTTGGTGATGTCTTTCCATAAAATGATTGCACACTGAATGGACTGTCACGTAAGTCTACAGTTTGGTCAGAATTTAGAGAAAGATTCAACGACCGGCGAATCTTCTCTCTTGGAGTCGATGACATCAATCCTGAACCATGTTTCATTGCAAACAAAGTTAAAGGTGTATTTGTGTCACCGACAAAAGATTTGTGAGCTGATTTTTTGGAGTCGTTGTGTTTAGGAGTCGGAATGGGTCTCAACGGTGTTCCTGAAGTTGTAATAGATAAACGTTTAAATGCTGTCGGCTTCGCTTGTCGAGGACTAGCGGGTTTTTCAGGCAAGTTCTCTAATATGCTGCTGTTGGAAATTGGTGTTTCTAAAACATTTTCTAGTGTCTTACGAGGTGATAATTTCCGAAGAACCAATTGTGGAGACCGAACTTTATCATTGATCTTTTGAGACTCAATTAATGGTTGATTACTTGGTGATTTGTTTGGAGAAGGAGATTTAACTGGCGTAGCTGGACCATTTTTTGGTGATTTTATTATTTTAGTTGCAAGTACACGAGGACTTTTTGACTTTTGATTAATTTTAGGTGATTTTGGAGACTTAAAAGATTTTCCAGGGGATTTCGGTGATTTTGGAGACTTTAAAGGAGTTCCTGGAGATTTCAAAGAATTCATTGGAGATTTTGGAGACCGCAAAGAAACTCTGAGAGCTTTTGGTGATTTTAATAGCACCCTAGGTGATTTTGGTGACTTTAAAGAAACTCTAGGAGATTTAGTCGATTTTGCAGACTTACGAGAAGATAAACTCTTTGATAAATCAGTATGAGATGTTCCAAGGTTTGATGATAAATCTGATGAAATTGGAGAATCATTAATGATTGATAGCTTCCGAGGAGTCTTAGACAATCGTTGAGGACTAAGCGTATGTGTTTTTGGTGATCCAATATTAACAGGTGATTTTCTAGGTGTTTTTGTCGCACGATGAGGAGTAAGATGAACAGTAATTGGGCTACTTTCGGGAGTGACGACCGTAGTTGGTGAATTAACATTACGGCTTCTAAGCTGACGAGTTCGAGGATTTATTGGTGTTGCAGCTTGTTTTCTACCTCGTTTAGATATCGCCTTAACCTCAACATCTTCCTTCGACTTTTCTTCTTGGTCGTTATCAAGTGTAACTTTAGTACCAATGCTACTAACATTTTCCGCTTCACGCCCGTTATCTACTGCATCATCAACTTTTTTATCATCATCAGTGTCACCATCAGCTTTTTCAGGCACAGCACGTTTACGGCCGCGTGTTTTTTTAGCTGAAACCGGTGCTTTTGTGAGAGTCTGATCAGTTAAAATAGAATCTTCAGTTAACAAAGTAACATTATCATCTTTATCTTTTCTTGTTCTTTTTCTACTGCTGATTGCCACAGATACATTTACAGAATCATCAGCTGTTTCAGCAGTTTTTTTTCCTCTAGGTTTTCTTCCAGGTCGCTTAGTTTCATTTAATTGCGGCGTGCCTTCAATGACATCAGACTCATCGGTATTTTTTAATTTTAGTTGGCGTCGTGTTCTCAAGGTACGATTACCATCGTCTGGACTCTTTGGGATTATGCTGGTATCCTGTTCCATCGTTTTATCGTCTTCACCGTCAGTTTTTGCTCCTGAAATTAAATTTGTTAATTTAAATGACATTTCCACAAGAATAATATAAATAAAAGTAATTAAAAAAAAAAATTTTAATTCACTATTAGTAAATATTAATCGAATTTTGTTAAATATTTATTAATTATAATCGTGAAAATTTATAGAATATATATATATATATATATTTTTTTTTTTTAATAAAATATTATCTTTAAATTGAAGGAAAAAACAATATCTATTTATAACTTATCAATAGTTACACTTAATATTTGATATAAAAATAAATCAACTGGTGTTTTGATCCGAGCCGCCAAAATTGACGCCATATCTGACTCTAGCCCGCCCAAATAGTACACCTGGTGCACGCTTTATCATTCAGTAACCACAATTTTTACACATTATGTTGTAAAAACTAAATAATTATTAAACAACAAACCTTTTCGCACTTTTCTCAGGGACATTATCGTCCCACTGCGACTAACGTTAATAAGTTAAAATAATATAAAACTTATATAAAACACAATGATCCTTTAGTTTTGCACCTAAAAACAATTACGTGTGTACGAACGTTGCAGGAAATAACACAACCGGTCACTTTTAAAATGACCGTTGGTGGCGCTCTCTCCCCCGTTGTATTTTAAAATTCTTTTTAGTTTTTGTAATTCACCGCTAGAGTAAAATATATCGAAATCCATACATACATAACATAATATCGACTGTCGACATCTTTTCCAACTTGGTGTAGTTTTCTTTACGTAACTCAAACAAATTTAACCTACGCCTGAGAAATTCTATCAAGGTAATAATTGATCTAAAATTTATTTTTTTTGAAAAATTAATTAATTAAAAAATATCTTTATTATATCTGAGTTTAACTATCATTTTGTTTCTGTCACTTGTTTGAAAAAATTGGCTGTTGATTAGATGTCAATGGTTAACCAATAAAATAATTTTTTATGTAATTCACAGTATTTCATTAATTAGTTTCGGTTGTTTAAATTTATAATATTTTCAGTAATCATGGATGCAAACGTCCCCAAAGATCGGATGATGAAATATCCGTACACTTGGACAGCTAAATTGCAAATGTTTCCTTACAAATATTATTGGAAACACGCTTGGATGACCAAGTACTGGTGCATTGGACTTCTTTGCACTGTACCAATTTACTGGAAAATTGGAAGAATGGGTAAGTCTAATTTTATTTTGATTTACAACATAGTCAAAAAAAAAAAAAGAGTAAAAATTTATTGATTATTTTACTTTCAGTAAACTCACCTGAAAATGTTGAAAAATGGCGTGAGATCAGAAGGAAAGAATTTTCGGGCGAAAGCCATTAAATTTTCTTGTTTAATAAAATATCAAGAATGTAGCTCATTGCAGAAGATTAAAAACATCTATGGATAATTCGTAGACTTTCCAATGAATTAAATGAAAAAAAAACATACTTATTGTAATTATTGGATATGCAATAAATTGAGTAAATTAATTGGTCAATTGTTTAATTTATTATTTATTAATGATATATTTAAGTCATATAATAATAATCAATAGTAATAAGTAAAGGATTTAATAAAAATAGTTGCGCTTTTGAGGCATTTATTACCAAATTAATTGTATAAAACAGAGATTATTACAAAAAATTGGTTCTGTTGTGCCGTCAAATCCTCTATGATCGATCTATTTTCATTTAGTGTTTTTTTGTACCTTAAAACTCTTGCAGGTCCAGCCTAAATTTAAACAATTTTCTTCGGAACTAAATAATCTTGTTTAATTAATTGCTGGAACGAATAAAAATCCTATAAGTACTAACGATGAGACCACCTTTTCACCGATTAATTATAAACGAGTATTAGTTAATTAATAAGTTAACGTTGGATAGATATTATTATTATTGCTGTTGTATAAAAATCAACAGCCGAAAATAATTACGATTCTAAACAAATACATTCTTCATCTATATACTATGTCATAGGTCTCTCGAAAAATAAAACTAATCTAAGAATAGTATTTATATAATAACTAAACGTAATAAATAATTGAGTAAAAAATATCTCCTTCGTTCATTAAAAATTATGAATTATATTTTGCTTACTCAATTGTGAATAATATTGTACTAGTTTTTAATTATTTTGTCTTTTTCATCCATTTTTATTTTTTATTACTGAGATTACGGTGTTTAAATCAATTAAACAATATTATGCTCTTGAAATATTATAATACTGTGTACAAAATTATTGAGAGAGTAAACTCTCGTGATGAGTATTAGTTTTTGATTGATGATCTCGCATAGTAATTTTTCAATTGGATGAATTTATTATACTGACCTATGTAGTATGGAAACAAAATTATTTCGCGAAAATTGTAGTCACACCGATTTATCTCATGACAAAAATAAGGTACATTCTATTATAATTATCATTACAATTAATATTTCTTTTTATACCATTTAAATTTAAAAATATTACATTGTATTTTTTCTTTTAATTGTTTTTCTGTACCAAAACAAACAAATAAATAAAGTGCAGTCTTTATCTTAATTATCCCCATTAACTTTAGTCTCCTCTGTGCCATTGTCCGTAAGAGAAGTCAACTTTGAAGTTTCGTTATTATGATCAGCGTCTCCATTTTCTAGTTTTAGTCTCTTGACCGGAGGTAATTTACAAGTCTCATCATCGTAATTAAAGCCCATTTCCTTGCTCCTCTTCTCAAAAAATTTGGCTAGCCTCATACCAGCTCTGTAAACATAACTATTTTCAGGAATGTATAACTGAGTACTTTATGCATTAAATTAATATAATGTTCGGAGGCCAAAGATTTTCATATGCTACATGTTTCAGCATTTGGTTCTCCGAGAAATATTTATTACATAAAAACTAAGGCCTTGGTTAAAATGATTTATGATTTTATACTATCAATCAATTAATGAATCGACCATGCAAATCGACATGCGAGATGTAATTAAAAGCCCAATAAGAAAACTTTCATGCGAGAAATTCGAAAGAGTTAGGAAAACAAAAAGTACAACTCATTTTTTTTCATTGAATTAAAATCACACAGTTGACACAGCAGTAACCGTTTGTTAATAAAATAAAACACATGTGTTAATTACATTCCATGAATCTCTGGCATCCGAACCTAGATTCTGGATTTAATAATATAAATACTCACTTGTAAACAGCGCTATTTTGTTGATTATAAGTTTGACAATTCTCAAAAATAAGAAGACAGTCAGAAAAAAATAAATGTGAATTATTTTCATAAAGACCAGCTTCTAATTTTTTCTTTACTGTTCCAAAGTCCATCGGATGTTTTATAAATTCATGATAATCAGGCACTTCATTAACAGTGACAGGTGATAAAAATGGCCAGGATTCTTTGTGATGCATTACTTCTTTCAAAAGCTCGTGCAATGTTTTATCTTGATCAGCAGCAGCTCGCTTGGTTGCACGTCTTGTTTGACGAGGTAGCACATCTGTTTCCTCTGATGCACTACTATCTACTCAAATAAAATAAATAAATAAATAAATAAATAAATATAATAAATTGTATACTTTATAATGATTAGTAATAATTAACAATTATTATTATTTTTTCAACCAATTATTAATGTATGATTTAATAAAGCAGTGTCAGTGAGATATCAATAAATTTATTAGAGCAAAAAAAGTGTGATTAATATTGTAAATTATAAAAATCTAGCGTGTAAATGTTATCGACAAATGTGTTGAACCGAATAATTAAGTGATAATTATTTTAATAAATTTTTAATCAGGATTATGATGGCTGCATCAGGATAAATACAAATACGGGTAGTAAATGAATTGTATATGGTATATAAGCTGAATGCTAATCGGGGGGGTTTTTTTTTTTAATACAGACCATCCCAGTTGTAAGTTTCTGTACGAAGAAGGCTCTTGGCAAAACTGTGGATGCGGAAACGTGCAGCTGCCGCACACGATCGCTCTCTGTCTCTCTCCCTCTCGCGACCTCGCGCTAATAACATACTCAATGCTAAACCCTTCGAACTTTTTTATCTACGTTTTATTTTGACTCTAACTACTTCTGCGCCATGTTATGAAATTAATTCTGATTTAATAATTTTTCAATAGAATTCGATTTTTTTCTTTATTTAGATATTTTTTTTTTTATTAAATTTGAGTAACTTACCGCGTCTAGTTGCATTTTTCCGTATATTTCGACATTCATAGCAAGACCATCTTCCACGGGGTGCCCTCGAAAGTGGTGGATCAAGGCAACCAATGTGATATAATTTAACACATGTGTCGCAAGCGATCACACTCCCAGAATTATTACAAATCGCACAAAGTTCTCGGAATTTAGGTCTAAAAAAAATAAAATAATTTTTATTCAAAATATCAATAAGATAATTACTGTTTTTATTATTATTAAATATTCTTACTTTTCTTCAACAGTCTCTTCACCTGGAGCAGCTTCATCTTCAGCCTCATCTTCACTTGACAAAACTCGTCGTGAACGAGCATGACGTGTATCTTTGGTCAGGGCCTCTTCTTCATCTTCCTCGTCAAACTTTCTCCTTGTTTTATTTTTTGGTTTTGATTTTGTATCAGGCGGCTTACACGTTACACAGAACCAGTCACCCTCGGGTACGCAAGTAAGTTTAGGTTTGAGACAGTACAAATGATGGCCTTTATTGCATCCATCGCAGAGTAGCATATTTTCAGCGTCGCGGCATTTTCTGCAGATACGACACCGAGCATTGAGTGCACTTCTACTCCACGCAATACTGCTCTCCAAAGTATTTATATGAATAAACAATTGAGACCAGCTCGTAGACATCATAAGAGAATGTTCCCATCGTTCTTTACCCTCTTCACCTAAATGTTTCTTATCCTTATCATCATGTCCCAATGGCTTTTTTAAATATTTATGCTCTACAGCTTGTGATAATTGCAAAATTGCACAAGCCATCTGCCGGATTCGCATTTGTTGTTTCGAGTCAGCTACAAGTTCATTTTCATCAGGAGGACCCAAATATTTACCCGGATCCTGATAAGCTTTTCCGATTCCACTACCAACTTCGGAATCTGGTGTTCCTGGCCGACTACTACCTTGCCGTGTTTCACTCTTTATTTTATCTAACGTTGAGTTTATCGGAACATCTGCTTCTATTTCGTGCTGACCGTAAACAAGTTTATCGCATTGTTTATCGTACTGACAATTAGTAATAGCATTTCTCCAAGCGTCTCGATCTTTTACTTTAACTCCTCCAAGACAACCTACTTTTATTTTATCTTCTACTTCGAGTATAAAGTCTCGCAATGAGAGCTCCATAACTTCATCGATTGGAACATCTGGAGGGTAATTAAGATTTGTATTTTCGTTCTTAACTTTTTTTGATGTCCTACTGTTTGATACCTCTTGAGACGTTTGTGGAAATAATTTTGGATTGAGTTTGTGCTTCGGGCAATTGTTTATTGCAGTCTTGAGACTTTCTAGTTCTTGACTAATATTATGCCGGAGTTCACCTTCGCGTAACCCACGTATACTTAAATTATTCATAACTTGTTCGATATCCTCGGAGGAACCGTAGAACTTCCATTTTGTTTCCGGCCTCTTACAATGGACGGGACACTCTTTGTCGCCTGTACAAGCCATTAATTTTTTTCTCATATCATTTAATTCTCTCGTAGACAATTTATTATTAATGCCATTAGTATCGGCGAAGGTCACTGTTTTTTTAGAAACTTGTGACGTCTTTGCCTCATTAATATTATTTTCTTTATCACTAACTTCATCTTCAAATTTATTTTTGAGGTATTTATTGGCTGAATCTTTATCTTGTAATTCAGGTAGATAAGGCGTACCGTCAGTAAGGCACGAGCCTGGTGTTCTATCGTCATTCTCGACGAATAAACCAGGAATTGAGAGTAAACGCCAGTATCTACGATGAGCACGATCAGAACCCAAGTAAAGCATCATCTGATCATCTTTAGAAGCTAGTTTTAATTTTGATAACTGTTGTTCATATTTTTCACGAAGCTTTTCTTCTTCACGACTTCCACGAGTTTTTTTCGGTTTATCATCAGTTTTATCGTCCAATGTTTTATCCCCTTCTACTTTATTATCTTTTTCACGTTCCTTTATTCGCTCTTTTTCTTCTTTTTCCTTCTTTTGCTCAGCTACTATGAGAGACTTGAGTTCACGACGTGCTTGATGAACCTTTTCGTTACGTTCATCAATAATATCACGAATAGCAGCAAAAGTTAATAATTGATTAATAAGACAAGTAGCTACGCAAAGTCGATCTTCGAGATCAAATTCGCACACACTGCGATGTCCAAGAAGTCGAAGAAGTCGTGGCTGATTTATCCTCAATAGAAGAGCTGGATCATCGTAATTAGTGTAGCCACCACGTTCAGAATATCTCCACTTAGATGCTGCTTCACCGATTCTACCACCAGAGCTCAATAGATGCTGTCGTAAGATTTCACTTAGGGTGACATGATCCAGGGTAAGTTCTGATAGCTGACAACCGTGATGTGTTTGACACCAAGTTGATGCTCTTGTAGCTAATTTAACAGCCTCTGCCATCGACGAAACACCGTGATCAAAATTGATGTTGTCATTTTTTGAATTAGATTCATGAATTTCATCTTCTTCCTGAGCTTGATATTTAAAAATATTCGCTAGAAGAAATTGAATTAAGTCACTCCAAGGTCCAGACACTTCCTTAACCAACAACGCTTTTTCCAAAGTATCAATAGTCAGACCACCCGGAAAATACGTATTTACTTCTAGTTCGTCATAAAAAAATTGTAAAAATTCAAGAATCATTGCAAAATCACCAAAGTGTTTATTTGGTATCGCACAATCTACGGGTGTTGCCTCTATAATGGGTCTTAAATCTTCACACTCGAGATCCTCACGAGGTTTATTCCATTCCCTAACATAAGCAGCAAAAACAGCAAGTTTTTGTTTTTCCTCTCTCTTACGTTCTCGGATTTCATTTCGTTGTTCTTTACGTTTCTCCTTCTCCTCTTTAACACTAGCTTCACTCTTAAATTTCCCATTGGCTCTAGGTTTGCGATGTTTTTTCACTTGAATACTTCCTCCAGAACTTATTTTATTAAGTGGATCAGGTTTCTCAAATGCCCGGTGCTTACTAACATCAGACGTAAAAAATTTGTCCAACGTAACTTGTTTTTGTTTAACAATTGGTTTTTTCGGTAAATTAAAATCTGGCAGTGGACCTGAAAATATTGTATCAAAACGTACCTTTGGAATTGAATATTTTTGTTGGATTGAATCTTTTACAATCCAAACACCTTTACTATTTTGTTCGCATAACATACGTAAAAATATTTTATTACGTTCTTTGCTGTATAGAAGTTTTTTACGTCTAACTTGTGAAGCCTCAAGAATAGCTATTTGATTAATATCTCCGTCCATTTGTTCAACTTCATATCGAAATAATTTTGCTGGTGGATAATACTGTTTCTCCTGAGGGCTTTCCTTAGCATACTCTTTTAGTTGTGCCTCTGTTGGTTCGATAACTTGTAAAATATGGCAGTCACACCATATGTCATTTACTAAATTAGCTTCAACCATTTCACCAACGAAATAACGGTCTCGAGCATATTGATAAACATCGTCTGTCATTTCACTGAACGACGTTCTATGAGTTTTAGAAGCCAGGTACAGGATCGGAGTTCTCAACTGTAAATTTATTGAAAAAAATAACATTAATAATGTTACTTTAAAACTTTAATAAAAAAATAAATAAAACAACATACCTCCATAGGAAATTCTTTGAGACTCTTTTTAGCATTTTCCTCACAATGAAGAGCCTCTTCGTATGTCATATTAGTTTTTCCTGTGATACTACACGACCAAATTGTCGAATTGCATAGTATAATTCTTTCGCAGTATTCACTGTAAACAGAAAATGGATAACAGTTAAAAAAATCATTGCTACGTTTTTTTAAAAAAGACAAACTACCCGTTTAAATATCTGTTAATTATTAAAAAAAATTAAACAAAAAGATTGTTGAGGCGGGAAATAATTTCTATTGCGCGGCATTGAGAAAGTTTTTAGCTATTTTACGTTCGACGCGTCACGACAATCTCATCACGTCAGAAACTACGTATTGAATATACGCAAGCCATGAATCACATGCATTTCGATAAGATTTGTACTTTATTTTAATAATTTAGGTACATATTTCTTAAAATTTAGTGTTTACTGATTAATTTAAATACTAAAATAACAGCTACGAATATTAATTGCCAAAACTTACTTGTAATCTTTGAAGACTTCATTCGTAACCTCACAGTGAAAGACTTCATCGTCATCCTTGTAGTCCGATGATACATGAAGCCGTTGAAACGGCTTCTTCCTGAGGTACGGCATGTCGATGTTAACTTGATAACTATTTTAATTATTCACATCCAATGTTTATGATGATCACAACAACAATAATAAGATATCAGAGATTTATAAAATGAATTTAAATGATCAACAGGACACAGACCGTTGTCTAAATTCAGGTTGAGTTGTATGTTGAGTAAGTAAACGATGAGAATTGGTCGATTTGTATTTCTTGAATTCTTGTGGCCTAATACTCACTATTCTCCCTCTCTACAACATACAACACACTACTATATCCTCACTCATTCTATCCTCGTTCCTTGGACTTTAATTTTTACACTTTTAATATATTTAAGTTATTATGACGACACTATCAAATATATTAATGACAATTTCATGAATTAGATAATAATATATATAACAGTTTCAATATAATTTAAACCCAAAATAATTTATAAACCCATGACAAAGCACGTTAACGGTGCCCGGATAGTAAAAGAAACAGCGCGTATACACACCTGGCACACTCTTGTTCCTCTTTATACAGCATACAGTTACAAACCGGAAATTAAGGCCTATTCATACGTAACACTCACTACACTCACACTATCATATATCACTACCAACTTTTTAATTCTTAATTTTTACCGCCAGCTTGAAAATTACTTGAATCTTGGTCGATGAAATTTCAAGAAAGTTTGTAAGATTTGTTTATGCCTTTTCACTTATAAGTGCTGTTTTTGAGTTATTTATTCGCTTGGATACTAAATTGTCTCTTGTTTATTTTTATATTAAATGTGAATTAAAATAAATGCTAGAATATGAGGATATGTTCATACTCTGGTAATGCTGTCATTTTTTATCAATAACCCGATAAAAAAGTTGGCAGCATTTACTTTTTTACCGCCAGTTAATTTTGGCGGGTAACAATTATTCACCATTATTGTTATTTACGCGGGAATTTTTTGTATGTCATTAAAGTTAGCCAACGTTTTTCATTTTTTGATTATTTTTCATTTATTAAATTAGAACTAAAAAATATTTTTAAAAAATTGCACTTATAGTTTTTCAAGTTTTTTTACAAATGAAAATTTTTTTTTTTATTTTTCTGTAATGATTTTTTCGATAGAAAAAAATTCTAAAAATTTTTAGATGTTGGCTAACTTAATTTTCATATTTTTTGTTGATATTTCAACAATGGGTTCTTCTTGTTATTCAGTCATTATATTATTTATATAAATAATCAACTATTGAATTTATATTGGAGAAAAAAATTATTTCTAAGAACTTTATACGTCGAGTAGAATTTATTATTAATATATATATATATATATATATATATAAATAACTTATTGTATATTTATCATTCTATTGTTGTAACAGACAGTATACAAATTATTATGTTTATTTTAAATGGTAGATGCTAAAATGCTTAAAAAATTAAGCAAAATTATTTATTATTTTACAGCAACCATTAATTCGGTCACTATATAATTTTATATTTATAATTTTAATGACTCAAATTTTTTATTAAATTAATTTCAGTTAGTTGCAGGTTGCTTATAGTCTTGAGCAATACACAGTTTGTTTTAATTGATAATAAATTAAACATATATAGTGTAAATTAATATCAAGCGTATTTTTTACAAAATTTTTAACCACTCTGTATATAATTGCAGCATATTGAAAACATCTAGGAACCCATATCAAGCCATTCATTAAAGTATGAACATTTTAATGGAGTTACATCTCCTAGATCATTACAATTCCTTCGAACCTGAAAATAATCAATAAATTTGAATTATAGCTAAGAAGTTTTAAAGATTAATACTTCTATAATCTAATAATAATATTAAAAAGTTATCTTACGGGACAAAATCCACACGGAGTTTTCATCAGTCCTGGCGTAGGGGTTAAATATGGAATAGCACCATATATAATATCACCATTACCATTAACGCTTCTGTCAACTTTCCCATCATAGTACAGTGAATTTAAAAGGGAAATTACTTCTACTTCGCTCAATTCTACCTGAAAAATAATTATTTAAATCCATAATTTATTTAGTCACAATTAAATCTTTTAAAATAAAAATAAAATAAACAACTATTTACCTTGCTCACGTTTAAATCAGAGATATACTTAGCTACTTCTTTATGAGAAACATAAGACATTTTTCTCAATGCAAGTGGACCGATATCCAACTTTTCAGCTTCTTCTCGCTTTTTAGATAAAAATAAATGAGATTGTTGGGTCAAAATATCAACATACTCAGTTTCAAAATCACGACCTTGATAAAACGCTCCTCCGGTGACAGATCTATGTGGCTCCAAGTTATACAACATGTACAATTTTTTCTTACCGCCGGCAGCAATTGATTTTATTTCTTTGATAAGTTTTTTCGAGTCTAAACTCTTTAATACTTTATCAAGTTTTGTATCATATAATTGACATTGTTTTCGTATATCTCTAACCCAAACCCCTTTGTTTCCTCCTTGCTGTATTATAGCGTATACTACTTTCTCCTCGTTATCGCTACCTTTCAGAGAACTTCCTACTACGGCATTGTTAAGCAATATCAATTGATTTTTCCCTCTGGTTACAAAAGTAATTCGCGAAGTTGATGACAATTTGTTTATGAGGATTGCTTGCTCTTTCTTTTCCAAGTCTGAAAATTCTTGCGATATTTCGGACATAGTCACCCCTTTAGGTTTTTTCTTGATGAACTCAATAAATCTGAAATAAAAAAAAATTATATTTTTAAATATGATAATACTCAAGTTAGCCAACGTTTTTAATTTTTTGATTTTTCCTCATTTTTTAAATAATATTTTTAAAAAATTCCACTCATAGTTTTTCAAATTTTTTAAAAATGATTTTTTTTTTTTTTTTATGTTTTTATTAAAAAAAATTCTAAAAATTTTTGAATGTCAGCTAACTTAATTTTCATTTAAATAGCGAACAGCCAGTAATTTTTTGGCTTGTCGAAAAATTTACATGTATTTCATTATTTATATTTGCATAGATTTATAACCTTAAAAATATCAACATTTTTTAATTAATTATAAATAATACTCACTTTTGTTCATTTTCGGTTAGCTCTGCTCCACTATTAGGCTTCGATTTTCCAATAGCAGGTTCCATTTTTATAAATTTATTTTAAAAAGTACTTATTTATTTTATAGTAGTAAAAATTTGTTTATGTATATCACGTTATGAAGCACGTTGCATTATACTTTAAGAAAGCAGATGGAGTTCTAAAATCTAAAGCATGCTTGTTTACACCCTGCAGTCTAAAAACACGTCCAACTATTTAGAGTAAATATTTATAAAAACTTGTTTTCTACTTTTCATGGAGAGTAAATAGCTGTCTATGGAAATTTTTTTCACTCGAAATTATAAGATATAGTTTAATTTTTAAATACAGAATAAATAAACCATTTATAATTATAATAATAATAAATAATAAATAATGAATGACTCTAGCGAAATAGATGAAACTTTAGAAGTTGCTTCTAAAACATGGGATCGTGTCATAGAAACTGCAAATAAAGTAATTATTTTTATATCAAGTATTATAATATAATAATAGATCAAACATTTATTAATTAATGTTTTAGACTGGTTTCAGAGAAGGTGTTGATGTAGGATCAGAGGCAGTTCTCCAAGAAGATTTTGATAGAGGTTATGTTGATGGATTTAAAATTGCTTATTTTCTGGGAAAGTACAAAGGTCTTGCTAATTCGTTGTTTAAAAATATAGAACATCCGAAAGAAATAAATGACATTCTTGAAAAAACACGCAGAGGAGCCTGTCATATTTGCGATTGTCAATATTCTGGAGTTATACAAGACCAAGCCAGTATTCTCGCAAAACACGAAGAACATACATTAAAAATATGTAAAATTTTACAAAGATATTTTGAACCTTTATTAAAAAATTTAGAAATAGATATTAATGATATAGACCTTAAATAGTTTACAGTTAATTTATTTTTCGATATTTGATATCTTGAAAAAAAAATAAAAGCATAAATGAATAGATTGGTAATAAATGATTCAGTTTAATAAAAAGACAATAAGAAATATTGGCTGTTGTTTTTACAAGTAAAGTCCCTCTGGCGATCCTTCTTTCTTTCTGTAAAGAACGCTTTCTTTAGATTTTTTAAAGTCATCATTTGTGACTTTCATTCGACGTTCACGCAGTGCCATTAAACCGGCTTCAGTGCAAACAGCTTTTATGTCAGCTCCAGAAAGATCATCCTTTGACATGATTAACTCTGATAGATTAACATCTGGCGCCAAAGTCATTCTGCTGGTGTGAATATTGAAGATACGTCTCTTGGTCTTCTCATCAGGAAGTGGGAATTCTATTTTACGATCTATACGACCGGGACGAATTAATGCAGGATCCAAGGTTTCTATTCTATTTGTTGCCATAACAACTTTTACATCACCACGACTGTCAAATCCTGAAAAAAGAAATTTTATTAATTAAATAACTAGCAATTAGAATAGGTTATTGATAATCGATAATAATTACCATCAAGTTGATTCAATAATTCCAACATAGTTCTTTGAATTTCTCTCTCACCACCACTGTTGCTATCATACCGTTTTGTACCAACAGCGTCTATTTCATCAATAAATACAATTGATGGTGCATGTTCTTCCGCGACTCTGAAGAGTTCACGAACAAGTTTCGGACCATCTCCAAGGTATTTTTGAATCAACTCAGATCCAACAACGCGTAGGAAAGTCGCGGAAGTTTGATTCGCTACAGCCTTAGCGAGTAAAGTCTTTCCAGTACCAGGAGGTCCGTACAATATAACACCTTTTGGTGGTTTTATTCCCATTTCTTCATAGTACTCTGGATGAGTTAGTGGTAATTCAACCGACTCCTTGATTTCTTGAATTTGTGTATCAAGTCCTGCAAAAAATATTCAAATATTAATATTCCAAACTTATCAAGTAATTCATAATAAAAAATTAATTAAGTCGTTTATTGTCACGGCAGTTAGAACTAGTGTGGAACTAGTTACCGGAGGAGATTGTTACGATTACTGATTACAATGAATTTCAATCGAAGTGTTACAAGTTTTTTTTATAGATAAAGATGATAAATAACTGTCATTACTAAAATGTTCAATTCAAATTATTAAATATTCTAATTCATATTTTTTCTTTTCTTTGGTTTTATAAACTAAAATCATTAGATTGTAACTTAGATAGACTTTGCTTTGAGACAACGTTATTTTTCTTATTATTATTATTATTATCATTTCCATTACTGTTTAACTACTTTTATTACTACGTATTCATTTATATGTAAAGCTTTAGGGTCTGAAAATTTTGATAAATAAATAAATAAAATCACCTCCAATATCAGCATAGGTTTCCTGAGGTGCTTTTTCCAATTTCATGACAGTAACCATAGGGTCTGTATCATCTCCAAGAACACCAACAACTGCATGAACCTTATGATTTAGTAAAACCGAGCAACCCGGTTCCAGCTGATCTTTATCCACGAAGGAAAGAATTGATACGTAGTGTTCAGAACCTACAGATGTGGATACTATCGCATGATTGTCGTCAATAATTTCTTCCAACGTTCCAACCGACATAGGAGTTCCTCTTAAGTCGTCAACTTTAGATCTTTCTTCTTCATTTTTTTCTTCCTGGGGCTTTAGTCTTTCTTGGTTCCTAATGAACTCCTCTTCCATCAATAAATAATCCTTTATCCTCTCTAATTTCAAAAGCTTCAGCCTACATCTTGTGTGTGGAGTCACTTGCGGTAGTTTAACAGCCACGTCCGGGCCTTTAGTACGACGTTTCTTTTTACCAACTCGAGTTGGAATTGGAGGCTCATATTTCTTTTTTTTGTCTTTATCATCTTTTTTATCTCCTCCTGAACCACCTGCTCCTGATTGATTTTGACCCTGTTTAAATTGATTTTTATTGATTAATTTTAGGAAAAATATTCAAGTTCATTAGTATCAATAACCTATACTTTTTGTTGTTTTGCGTGTATCTATGAATTTGTTTGTTTTAATCGTAATTAGACGATTTTTTTGTAATCAAATAATCATAGCGATGTTTATTGATGTGACTGTCAGTAATTTTTAAATGTACGTTTCTAAATATATTGAAAAAATACTTACCATCTATACTTAATGCTTTGACAATTGCTTGAAATCACAAGTCACTCCAAACTCTAGGAGGACGCCATCTTGACAAGTACAAAATAATAATTGGCCAATAAAAAGTCGATAAAATAAAAGGACAAAAGGCGGGAATATTTGAATAATATTAAATCTAAATTATAAACTGTAGAAAAATTAATTTTTTAATTAATAATATTAATAAGTAAGATTTTTTTTTATGAGTGAATGAAATTTTATTTTACTTTCATGTTGATACAACTATGATATAAATATTAATTACTCGTCTACAATTTTTAGCGCTTTTTAATTAAAGAGATGTTAAAAATTATCGAAGGTTGAAATTAAATAAATACTAAAAACGGTAATTGAGACTACTAATAAATGTCGGTTAATTTTTTTTTATTATTATCTACGTCTTATATTTGTAGACGAGGGAACTGACGTAAAATACTGAAGAAGTATCATTTACTTTTTTAAAATAATAAATATATACGTATTAAAGATCTTACTGAAAAAAAAAAAAAAAAAAAAAAAAATAAATGTATTATAAGTAGCTGTAGCTTCAAAATACGTATTATTTTGGAGTAAGTCTCACAAAGTGATGCTTTTGTAAATAAAGATTAAAATAAGATACTCTTCAATAATCTCCATTCCGCTCACAACGTAATAATTTTTGTTACAATTATATACATTTTGGTTTACGCAGAATAGTTCTCTTCAATAATCTAGAAATATAATCACAACGACTTGCCCATTTGCCAACAATACGATACTGTTAATTAATATTTTTACAACTTTAATAAAATGAGTATTTTACGAAAAATAATTTAATGAAAATAATTATTCAAATATAAGAAACAGAAAAACGACAAATGAATTAAATTGATATGAACGTCAATGTACTGTAGTTAAGTAGGAAACCCCGGCTGTTGTTAATACAACATGATGTTATCCATAAATTAACGGGATTGTCAATGTATGAAAATTTAAATTATATTACACGTTTTTTTGTTTGTACAATTATGCAAAAAGTTGCAAGGCGTTTTCGTGTGACGTGATAACGTGGATTAATAATTTAAAGACCAGCTAAAACTATTCTTGAATCTTCAACCGCATCCTTTATCTTACGCAAAAACAGAACGGCTTCACGTCCATCAATCAATCGATGGTCGTAAGTCAGAGCAACGTACATCATAGGACGGATTACAACCTATAAAAAAAAAAAAAATAAATTTATATAAAAATTTAAGCATACAATAATAAAATAATAATCAAATAAATAAACATCAATTAACCTGTCCCTTAACAGCTACTGGTCGATCGAAAACACCATGCATACCGAGAATGGCACTTTGTGGAGGATTGATAATCGGTGTTCCCATCAGTGAACCAAATACTCCACCGTTGCTAATTGTGAAGGTACCACCATCCATATCTTCAACAGAAATTTTACCTTTTCTTGCTTTGTCGCCGACTGCAGCAAGAGCGATTTCAATTTCGGCAAAGTTCTTGTTTTCTACGCTGCGTAAAACAGGCACAACAAGACCTTTAGGTGTAGCGACAGCTACACTAACATCGACATAGTCACGGTAAACGATGTCTGTACCATCAATTACCGCATTAACCACAGGCTGATCTTTAAGCGCGTAAGCGCTAGCTGCGATGAATGGACTCATGAATCCCATTTTAAGACCGTATTTTTTAGTGAAGGCGTCTTGATTTTGCTTACGGAATTCCATTATGTGGCTCATGTCGATTTCGTTAAAAGTAGTGAGCATAGCATTGGTATTCTGAGCGTCCTTTAGACGTTCGGCAATACGAAGTCGCATACGATTCATTTTCACCCTTTGTTCAGTTCGAGTGCCGATAATCTCACGTGCGTAATCAAGAGGAGGTAATTGAACTTTGGCACCCTCCAACGATTGGGCATGTTTAATGGCAGCTACGGGCATTGAGGCAGTGGGTGCTTGAGGTGGTGGTGGTCTGGCAGCTGGAGGAGATACAGGCGCTGCCGATGGTGGAGGCGGCGGCGGTGGTGGTGGTGGTGGTGCACCAGCTGCTTTTGGAGGAGATGGTGGTGGCGGAGGTGGAGGTGGTGCTGCAGCTGCTTTAGGAACTTCAGCTGCTGCGGCGACATTTCCACCAGTAGCACCGATATCGAGACTACATATTTTTTGTCCGGCTTTCACGGTATCGCCATCTTTGACGAAAAGCTCTTTAATCACACCGGCGCCAGGGGCTGGTACAGGTACGGAGGTCTATAAAAAATATTATCAATCAAAAAAAAATATTTTTTCACAAATTAAAAAAAAAAAAATTTATAATTTAAATCATTACCTTGTCGGTTTCGATCTCACAAACGACTTCATCCTCTTTTACCTGGTCGCCAACTTTCTTTTCCCACCTTACATCACCTTCGCTGACACTGTCCGCAAAAGGTGGAACTACGACATCTTTCAGCTCCCCTTTAATGTAAAAATTAATGTTTTTTTATCAGCCAAAAAAATAATTATTTTAGTTTCTTTATCAACACTTACATAATACTTGAGTTGAGCGTATATGTCTCGTCTGAGTCCAACAAATGGGACTTTTCTTGGATACTCTGCAATAATAAAATTAATAAATATTTTATCGAACTATCTTACTTTATCAAGCTAAAAAATTAATGGATAAAAATAATTTACTTACTGATGAGATAATTCATTAGCTAGGCACCTTGTTTTCGGTCTGAGAACACGCCCTGTGGAATAAACACGTCACATTTGTTATCACATACTAATAGACTTATCAAAATGAGCTATCTAAAATTAATAACTACTATCAACTTTACCTTCTAGATGCAGAGACCTCACGACCTGTAATGAAACAAGCAATCATCGATTATAATATTTTTACAAGCAAAATGTATGACAGAAAATTAATTTTTAAAGTATTTTCGAGTATGTGGTAGCAAAAAAATATCATCCAACTATCAGAGGACTTATCGTGTAAAAAAAAATTGAGTGAGATAACCCACAGGTGAATTTTATTTATCATACCGGCCTTAGTGATCATTTACAGTACATGATATGACAGTGTGAATACTAATACAATATTCCAAAAGGTATAATGATGATTATGTAATGTAAAATCTTTAGGTTAGAATGATTACTTCAAGGACACCTTCACTGACTTAATAATTTTGCAATCCAACACAATTGGTATTTTTATTACAATTGAAAAAAGCGCAAGGCCATCCGTGAGGAAAGACATTAAACCTTGTGTATGAAAAAATTATTATAGCCTCTTTACGGAGAAAAATAAATTACCAATAAAATATTAATTAATAATGTAATAATTCTTACCTCAGCACGTGATAATGATGTTAAACGTGTCAATGTCCGGGGCGCGATTCGAGAACAGTTGGACAGCATCATTGCGGCCATCCTAGGGGCTAAGGAAATTTATTCGCGGTACCCGTGTATCCTCGTGATGACAGAGATTGCGGGAAAACTAGAGAGGGGGAATGAAACAGGGACAGAGATGGACGGATTCGAACAACCACGGCTACATATGCTACATACGATACACGCCACTAGAAAAGCTAGAAAATGGAGAGAAGAGAAGAGTTACTTACTGATAAGCGGTTAAAAAGTACCAATAATTGTCGCTAGATGTCTAATTGTTGTTGACAACTAATGCCATCTTTTTTAAAATAATAATTACATTTAAATTGATTCTAATAATTACAATTACTTTTTAAATTACTATTTTTATAATACCTTAGAACATTATTATTTAATTTTTTCTTTGATGTATTATTAATACTTGAATTATGATTATTATTATTTCTATTATTATTCACGGACGTGATGATAAAAATTTCTAGCAATTTAGCTCAAATGAATAATGACAATAAGTGTTAAAACTGATGAATAAGTAACTCAGTTAATTAGCACATTACAATATGTAATACATATTCCAAATGATGACACAATAAAATTTCCTATATTTATACATAAATACTTGGTTAAAGATAATTTCTTTGTTTAAAATAGCAAACTTGTTGTAATGTTTAAAATAATAAATTTATTTTATTTTTAGTAAGAATAATACGCAGTTATAAATTTGTATACTTTTTTCTTTATTCATGTATTTATTTAAATAAATATCAATATTTTTTTTTTTTTAAATTTGATTTCATGATCAGCGAGCAAATAAATTTTCTTTGAAAGTTATTTCATCATATTCATATGATGAGAATTAAACAAATATTAATTTAACTCTTTTATTCTACTACAGTAGATTTGTGGTAAAAAGCAATAAATTTTTATTGGAAGAATAATAAATTGCGTGTTTGTGAGCATTAAAAATAAACATTGTAGATGTGTATCTTCAGAGAGTCCTTGCTTTTTTTTATTTTCTATGTAGGTAGGAGTCATGTCATGTTCAAGGCACAAGTGTGTATAAGTGTATGTATACAAATATAGTAACTGAGCATACATATGTTATTCTGTGAAGTGTCAATTGGAGCCAGTTGATTGCGCAGAGCTATACGACAAAGACGTTTTAAAAGTTGTGTTGAAAGGATTAAAGTATAATTAACTTAGTTGAAACGAGAGAAAAAATGGCTGGCTCCAGCATAATGCTGGATTGCAAAAAGCTCATAATATTATTGTTTTGTTCAATTTTTGTTGTAAATGTAATTGCAACAACACCAATAAATGTATCACCTCAAAGTATATCAGATTTATTGGTGCAGAGTGCTTTAAATTCTCTTAATGAAGACTCACCAACTCGTCATACTTACAAAAGTGGAAATGTTATCAATTCACAGAAATTGGTAAATATATATACATATATGTATTTTTTAATTTTGTATAAATAAAGAGGTATCAATATAAATAATAAGTTTATGAAACTTACACTTTATCATGATGTATGATCGTGTTGTGTTGTAACTTGAGTAAAAACACCAGATAATATTATTATTAAAGACAATATATCAGTTGATTAAAAAGGTAAATTTTTTTAGATGTTTTATTGTAAATAAATTAATTACACAATTTCTCTGTTTATAAATATTAATATTAAAAGTAAAAAAAAAAGAGGACAGTTGCAGTAATATAAAATTTGTAAACTAAAACAATATCATATCAAACTGATTAAAAGAGATAGATGAAGCAGTAGGGTTATCAATAAAGATTTTTATTGGAATATATAAATAAATTTATATACAAACTTAAATTCAATTATACTTATTCATCAAATTTTCTTTACTAATATAGATCTTTCTCTGGTTTTATTTTTAGGTACAGCCACCATATACTATCTATCGTTTAACACTAAACTTGGAAACAGATTGCCATGATTCATCATGTCCACGTGAAGTTTGTGCTATTGACATTAAACAGCACGAAGTTGGTGTTATCGAAGTTGAGAGTAATTCCAAGCAATGCATGTATTTATATCCTCAATTAAAACAAAATATTAATCAAGTTTCATCAAACAGTATGCAAGATATTCAAGAGCAAGAGATTGTCGAAAATTTAGATAAGCAAGTAGTAAATGATAGCGTAAAACTCGATCATGAAGATCAAGAGGTACTTGATCAAAATGATAAACCTTTTATAGCAATGAGAGCATCTCATTATTGTCCGGGTTGTCCTTATGAGCTTAATCCAACTTTGCCAGGTCTTGCAGCTTTTGGAGAACTTGCAGCTGATTCATTAGATCAATCGAGCCGTGATGATTACAAATATCGAGTAGTTAGAATTGTACGAGTAACTCGATCTGTTCCACCGGGATCTGATGTTGTTCGCTATGAGTTGCTGTTGGAAATGGGCCAAACAAATTGTCGTAAAACAGAAGATAACTTACGGTCAGAATGTTCTCTGCAGATTAATCAACCTACCATTCTGTGTGCTGTAATGATTGATGAACGTCCGTGGCTTACAAATAGCCGTCGATTGATTCGTAATAACTGTACGGAAACTCGTGATCAAATGAATAATTTAAACGGTAATGGTAATGCTCAACCACATTTGGCTGGAGAATCCTTGACGAGTAATGGACCGATTCAACAACAAGGTGAAGACGTTAACCAAGATCGGGTTAAAAACCTTGCTGATGAATTGTTAGTGGTACCAATATCTACATCTGAATCTGGAAGTAATAATGAAGAAGAATCAAAATTAACTGAGCCACCTTTTACGCGAACTGTCTTGAAAAAAGATGATACTTTAAAGAAACTTGTCAAAGGATTTACTGATAAATTTAGAGAATTTGATGAATTTTTGAAGGACTTTGATATTCCTGAGAAAACGACTAAGCAATCAGAACCGAGTGTCAATGGACCTGAAGTTATTGAAGAAATAATTCGCCCCGAAAAAATTGAAACTGACATTACCAGTGAGAGTCAAGAACCTAATGTCAAGATATCACGGAAAAAAAGGTCTTTGAATTCAGAGCCAAATCTCGTCAAGAGCTTAGCGCAGATGGCTGTTGATTATCTTGATGAAGTTGATACAGACGATAAGAAACGAGTAGTAGTAAAAGTTATAGATTCAAAAGAGGAAGAAAAAACGAAAACCAATAAAAATCTTCATAGTATTATAGTTATGGTTGGAACGACGAATTGCCTTGAAGAGCGACAAGATGATCTTGAAGAATGTATCATCAAATCCGACAAACCATTGAAAATATGTAAAATTCATATGATTACAGAAAACGATAATCCATTGAAGAATGCTAAAGTTTTAGATGTTCAGTGCTTTGACAAAAAGGAACAAAGATTTAAGAGAGATCAAGATCATATTCTCGGAGGTGTGAGTTCAACATCAACTGATGATTTACAGATACAAGAATTTGTACAGAAAGGTTTGAAAAAATACTCATCTGGATACAAAGGTACAAAAGAGCCTGTTGTTGCGGAAATTGTTAGCGCTTCTCAACAAGTCGTTGCTGGAACTTTGTACAATATTACCGTTAGATTTGGTGAGAGTGATTGTTTTAAAGGTGAAGTAGCCAAAACATGCTTATTAACTGATAACAGTCCAATTGAAGAGTGTTTTATTACTGTCTGGTCAAGACCTTGGTTGAAGGAAAATCCAGAGGAAATTAAAGTTAAATGTGGGGAAGAAAAAAGTCGTGAGAAACGAAATCTCAAAGGCGCTAATTATTCAGCTAAGATGTTGAAGTTGGCGCAAGAATTAAAAAAAGATCAAGCTACTGAATCAGTTGAACCAGAAAATAAAAATCAAGAGAAACGATCTCTCAAAGGTTCTAATTACTCATCAAAAATGATGAAAATGGTTCAGGATTTGAAAGATGAACGAGCTTTTGAATCTTTCCAAAAAAAGTACCAACGTGTTTACACTTCTGAAAAAGAAAAAGCTGCACGATTCAAAATTTTTAAAATAAACATGAAAGTTGCTGAAACACTCCAAGAATATGAACAAGGTACTGCATTATATGGACCGACGATGTTTGCTGATATGACAACTGATGAATTTCGCTCATACACTGGTTTAAGATCAGATTTAAGATCTGAAAACCAAATACCTTTTCCTATGGCTAAAATTCCTGACATTGAATTGCCTAATGAGTACGATTGGCGTCACTATAACGTTGTAACTCCCGTTAAAGATCAAGGCCAATGTGGATCCTGCTGGGCTTTTTCTGTTACTGGTAATGTTGAAGGACAGTATGCTATTAAGCATAGCAAACTCTTATCATTATCTGAACAAGAATTGGTGGATTGTGATAAATTGGATGATGGATGCAACGGGGGATTACAAGAAAATGCTTATCGCGCTCTTGAAGAATTAGGAGGACTTGAGTTGGAAGATGACTACCCCTATGACGCTGAAGATGAAAAATGTCACTTTAAAAAAAATAAAGCTGCTGTTGAAATTGTTTCTGCAGTTAATATCACATCCAATGAAACTCAAATGGCACAGTGGCTAGTTAAAAATGGACCTATGGCTATCGGTATTAATGCTAATGCGATGCAATTTTACATGGGAGGAATATCACATCCTTTCAAGTTTCTTTGTAGTCATGACAATCTCGATCATGGTGTCCTTATTGTCGGATACGGAGTTCACAGTAAGTTTCACTATGCTTGTTTATTTATTTTTTTTTTTTTTTTATTATTTATCGTTAGATATAAACTATTATTGAAATTGAAATTTTTTATTGCAGCTTACCCATTATTCAAGAGAGTTATGCCATTTTGGATAGTTAAAAATAGTTGGGGAACAGGCTGGGGAGAGCAAGGATATTATCGAGTCTATCGAGGCGATGGGACATGTGGTCTCAATACTGATGTCTCTAGTGCTATTGTTGCTTGAAGAAATTTAATACTGAACAAATTAACTTTAAGAAAAATTAAAGATTATTGTAAGTTTTAAATACAACGAATGCTTATCATTGAAAATGTGATGTGAAAAGCAATTAAATAATTAGCTTTAAAATTCTAGATCTGATATACAATATATGTAATACTCTTTTTCTGCATTACTCAAGATAAATTATTTGTAAGTTTAATATACACTGGTTGTTATAAGCCCAACTCAGCTATTACATAAATTTAAATGTTTTATAAACAAAGAATGAGAATAATATTCCGGATTATAATTTTTATAAGAAAAAAGTTTTTAAACATTTATAAAGTGTTTGTACTGTTTTTGATTTACTTTTATGTTGGAAATAAAAAAATTATATTTTTTCATAGTGAACTAAAAAATATATAGATAATAAAAAAATAAAAATAAAATCAGTTGACTTGTTTTATTTTTGTAAAAATAGATTTAAAAATGATAATTTTAGAATATTCATATCAGTAATTCTACTAGAATAAAGCTTAAAATAAATTCGACTTTCTCTTTATAAGAATTTTCGTTAGCTTAAAAAATTTAAACGACAAAAATGTTCAAGTGTTATTTAAATAATGAAAGAATTTTATTGTTATTTATTTGTGATAATAATAAAAATATTTGCGTATCAATATGTATTTTTAAGACTTTAATTAATTACATGAATGGCGTAAGAAAATTTTCAACAATCAATTTACATATGAAAACATACACAGTATGACAATGATAAAAATGAATTTTTTAATATTGCAATTGAATGAAAATATTAAAATAAAAAAAAAAAAAATAACACCTTTGTACTTAAAAATGTTTGCAATAAGCTTGTTTAATATATTCATCATTCGCAATCCATTTATTTTATAAAAAAAAATTTTCATTTTAACGTTTAAACATTATATTTAACGTAAATAAATACTTTTTTAGATTAAAAAAAAATTTATTGATATCAACAAAAAAAAAATTATTTGACGAAAATATAAATGAACTGATCAAACTAATAATACAAATTTGATTGTTTTAATATTTCAAAAATTGATTTCGAAGATATTAAACAGCATACATCTTTTACGATCTTAATATTAATCAAAATATTAATCCTTCAATTTATTTGCTTATAAATGAATACAACTAGACGACTATATTTAATATTTAGCTGACATAAATGATAATTATAAACTTATAATGATTTATATTATCAATTAAACATGTAAAAATTACCGGTTTTGTAATTTTTAAAAGTCAAAAGGTATATTTTTTACGGTTTTAATATCATCAGTTCTTTAATAAAATTCATCATAGGCATTAATAATTTTATTGATTTCGTTTTTAATATTAAAACTCTGATCTAATAAATTATCAAGCGTTAATTTCGTTAAAGACTGTTTTGAGTAGGAAAATCAAGATTAGAAAAAAGTCATGTTTCGGACTATCAATAATAGTTATCGTCACGAGATAATTAAGAATACACAAGAATTAATAACGTAATTATGTATATTTATAAATTATCTCAGTTATTTAATTTTTTTTTCGCGCAAATTGATGTACTGTGTACTCATTAAAACACACGTTGAATTATTAAAATTTACAGAGGTACTGTATCACTTGTCGAAAAATTATTATCAATTATTGAGAAGTTCTAATAATAATTGTAAGATCCCCACTGATTATAAGGTCCGTAAGCCTGCGGTCCACTTTGACTGTACTGCCAATTTTGATAGTTTGCATAGTTGGGATCTGATGGCGGCGGATATTGCTGATAACTCTGCTGATATCCGCTTTGGTTGGTATACTGTCCACTTTGGAATTGTTGTTGGGATGGGTAAGTTCCACTTGTTCCACTGCTGTACTGATAAGTCGATTGTGTGTTGGCAGTGGGTGGTGGTGGTGCACTAGATGGATCCGTCGTTTTTATTTTCTTCGGTGGCGATGAATCACTTAATAAAATATCGAAACATTTATTAATATTTTTTTAAAAGAGCGTGTTAAATAATTTATAAAATAATACTTACATTTTACTGTCCTCGTTCTTTGTCTTTTTACGTTCTTTCGCTTGTTTTATGCACTGTTGAAATTGTTCGTGAGCTTGAAGTACTTGATTGATGTCGGAGCTGAAATCTTCAAGGAATTCAACTTTTCGTTGGGCAAAGAGAACCCTCTGTTCAAGGTCTACATGCTCTCGTTCAATGAACATGTCCATATAGCCAATAATTTCCTTGGTATCAACGGGATTTCTTTGCAAACCCAAATCAATTAATTGAAGATAGAGTCGTGGATTTTCCTTATCTTTATCTGCAGCTTTAAGTAAAACTTTAACAGCCTTGTCAATGTCATTTTTAAATTTACACAGAAATCTTGCATATTTTACAACAATATTATTAGCTATTGTTCTATTTTTACTATTACTTATGTAACTTTCATAAAGTGTGCATGCTTTCTCTAGATCACCACGACGACGTTCAAGATTTATTCGACGATATGCTATTTGTAACATATTGGGTATAACATTGTCAATATTTTCAAGAATAGTAGCAGCTTTATCAAAGCAATTTCGTCCTTCTTCAAATGTTGCCCATTGAAGATGAAGATTTGGTTTTTTCGGATGATGAATCTCACATGCTCGTACATAAACATCCCTTATTTTTTCAACGTTGTCACCTTTTAAAGACTCCAAATAACGAATGAATCGTAGCCAAAATTCATCGTACAGGGCACAAGCAATCAAACAACGTTCAAATAGAATAATGATACGCTTTTCATCTTTCTGCTCAATTTCAAAATCAAGATATTCTTTCCAATTTTTTAATTGACAGCGTTCAAGTGGCTTGACATGGAAATAAGGCCGTTTAATACCTTCTTCAAATGCCCATCGAGCAGCGACAGCATTCACATTAGCTTTATGCATTTTACGTCTGCTGCTAATTATTTTTTCACGAATGGCACGTGTTTCCTCATCAGTCGGTGGAGCTTCATGAGGAGGTAATTCTTCACCAGGAGGGGCGTCATCTGTAGGTGCTGCTGCTGGTGTCTCTTCAGCTTTTAGCATAGCCTTAACTTCGGCCCTTAATGCTAGGAAATCATCTACATTTAAAATCCGGTTGGGACTGTTGACTGATACGAATTCTTGAAATGATTCAAAGTGTGTCATGTAACCGAGTGTTGGCACACAAAGTAATCTGTCATAAAGAGCTGTAACTCTACTAAATCGTTTTCCCTCAGTTTCCCATTTGATATAACTTTCCCATAAACGATCGGATCTAAAGCAAAAAAAAACAAAAAAAAAAATAGTTTATACATAGTTGTTTAATTTTTCAGTTAAAATAATAGTTCAGTAATAAATAATTGAAGCATTAAATTTACCTAAACTCCAAACCACAAGCCTCAATAGCTCTTTCATATTGTTCACGCATTTTTTCTTCATCTTCTTCGTAGATACTCTTACAGTGGTTGATGTAATGTAGCCACAAGTCAACACTGAGAGAAATAGCTTGCAAACCATTGTCGAATACCTGTGATTAATTGTTGAAACGATTAAGTTTATAATTATAATCAATAAATATATTATCTGCAATTTATATTATTTATATTTTTTATATTATATAAATTATATATTTTATATTAATTCGTAAATGTATTAAACCGATTTATATATATATATATATATATGTATATAATTTGATAGCTTGTGTTAAGCATATACTTATCATAGTAACATGTACTCACATAAAATTCGCGTACTGTAAAAAATATAATAATTAAGACAGAGATTGCAGAGCATTGTGCATTCACCTTATGAGTCAGGGAGTGTTCCAAATCAGGCTGCCTCTGTTTCTTCAGCCCATATTTTCTCTCTGCTTTCCACCGTCACGTGTCACCGCCTGTCCTAAGTCTCAGACTTTGACTCAACCGACCGAACCGATCTTACTTACAAATTGTGTATGGTATGCTTTGTATTTTTTTTTTTTATACTATTATAAATATAATTATATTTATGTTTATATAAATCGCAATAACTTAAATAAATGCTTAATATTTTTACAATACTTCGGTAATAAGCTATGTATAACAAATGCTTATATTATTAAATTATAAATAACACACACACATAATTGCTGCCACTCATGTTATTCTAATCAGTGACAACAAACGTATATTGTGACTTACGTAATTAAGCTCATAAAATAACGATAATAACGGTAATGATAATAAAACAGTATTACGTAATCGCATTTGAATAAATTTTTTAAATAATTTAATAATAGTACTAATCATAATTAAATAATTAGCTAATTCGTAAACGAAGAGAGCTGAATGGGTGCCACAAGACGTGCTAGGCTGTTGGAAGGGAAAACCATATTTACGTGCGTGCACACTGCCCACGCGTCTTCCTAACTCGAGCTAATTTCATTAGATTGCGTTAATTAAATTTTATTATTACCATATTGAATAAGATTTAGAAAAACTACCCTAGCAATTATGTATCATCATTTTTACTCACCGTCTGTACATTATCAGGATTGCCCTTTTTCTTCTCATAATCGGCGTATTTGCGCCAATATCCATAGCAGTAGGGATAGCGTTCCAAAAATTTACTATAGGCTTCACGGGCTGCTTCAGCATCATTCTAAGACAAGCAAGTAAATTAATTGATTTGTAATATTTCTTATTGAGAACATTTAATTGCTAATGTTATTAGAATATAATTACCTCCTGATCAACATATTGAAGTAAATATGTCCATCCAGTAAAATCTGAAGGATCTTCAATTACTGCTTTCCAATATTTATCCAATTCAGGTAGAGTTTTTTTCTTAGGTGAAGGTGGAGCAGTTTCTGTTTTTTCCTCAGTCTCAGTGTCTGTAGCCAGTGCTGCTTTTTTGGCCGGAGTTTCTTCATTAGTTTCCGAAGTTGGTGAATTGGGATCGTATTCACCTTCAGCATTTAATTTTCTTTTCGCTTAAAAAATTAAAAATGTATTTAAATGTTAATAAAATAATAATATTTAAGTTATTTTCGAAAGTTTAAATAAGTAAAATAAACTTACTACCAGCTTCTACTTTAACTTTTTTTTCCCGTGTTTTTTCTGACGCTTTAGCAGCTGCTTTTCGTTTTTTCTCACTCTCTGGGGGTAGCTCATCCTCAGATACAGATTCAGTTTCACCGAGATCTGCTGGTGGTGCTGCAGGTAATTCTTCGTCAGAAACTGCTTCAGTCTCTGGTTCCTATTTAAATGAATAATTGTAAATTAAAAATTCTTTATTAAAAAAAAATAAAATAGATAAATTCATGTTAAACAAATTTTTATGTAGAAATAGGAATAAATAAGGATAGGGTGGGTAAGTATACCTCAAGTAAACATTCACCTAAGGAAAAGTCATCGTCAGACACATCTTCCACGTCGTGTAAATACTAATAAAATTTCAAATTGTGTGAAATAAATAAAAGGAAAAACAATAAAAGAAAGTAAGAAAGCATAAAAAAAAGCTGATGTATTTTTTTTTTATTAAAATGTACCTTAGCTGCAGCTTCTGTAGGGAACTCATCCTCGGATACAGCTTCAGTATCAGGCTCTTTCTTTTCACCCTCTTCGTCTACTTGAGTTGGATCAACTTCTTGTTCAGTTTCAGGCTGAGGGTTCTCTGCTTGTTCTTCAATTTTTTCTTCGTTATTATCATTGTCACCAGCATCTTTCTCATCTTTCTCTTCAACTTCTTGCACTGTATCATTAACTTCCATAGGCTCATCAGTTTGTTCTTGAATGGTAACATCTGTTTCTTCTTCCATAGCTTCGTTTGATTTCATTTCATCAATCACTTCATTGATATCATTGATTTGATTTTCTTCCACATGACCACCATTCATACCTTCATCTCCAGGATTATCATCCTGCGTCTGAATAACATTGTCTCCGCTGTTATCTTCTAGTGTGATAACGTCACTCTCGTCCTCCTAAAAAAATAAATAATAAATCAATAAAATAAAATTACATTAATTTGATTAAATAATCGTACCGTCATTTGTACAGATTCTTTCACGCGAAGAGTTGATGAAATTGGAGTAGAAGCTGTTTTGTTGCTAACAATTGGAGGTGGAGGAGCCTCTAATTCGGGTACACCCTGTGTTTCTTGATCTAAATGATCGTATTGTGTTTCTTCTTGAGGATCAATAACCTCTTCAGAATTTTCAAATTGCGCTGATGATGCACTTTCCTCGTTAGATTCAATTAAAACTTGTTCGAATTCTTGCATTCCATTTCCTGGGGCAGAATCTTCTTCTAACTCTTCAATTACAGTTGTACATTCCTGATATATAAAAAAAATTAACATAAATAAATATATAATTACCAATTACTTATTGAGCAATTTAAAAAAAAAAAAAAAAAAAAGCTCAGACTTTCAACTCCAATTATTTAAATAAAATAACCTTAAAAAAAAAAAAAAAAAAAAAAAAAAAAAAAAAAAAAAGTAATAATAAATATAATCATAATAAATAGTAACATTACCTCAACAGCTTCTGTTTCTACAACGGCTTTGCCGCGAGCCCGCGTAGTTCTAGTGGCAGGTTTTTTGATAGGCGTCTTTTTAACAGGGGTCTTCAACGCACGTCCGGATCTCGTTCTCCTCACTGTAAAAAAATTAGGTTGGCGTTACCCTGACAACGATAAAACGTGTAACGTTTGAGGCGTAATAAATTCAATAAACTATCGTAATTATAATAATCATGATGGCGGTTTATCATATTAAACTTATGATAACGAAATACATGCCGGTTGATGTAGCGTTGTATATGTATATGTTTTTCAGATGTTACAGTCCAACTTGCATTGAAGACCACATGCAAAAGCGACAATTGATAAGTTACTTCTACCAATTATATCTCCAATCTACGTTATTTTTACAACTTAAATACCTGATTCATTTTCCATCAATTCATTTTCGTCACCACTCATCGAAGACATTTTATTTTTTATCACCAACTATACTTTTTTATCGTTATCGTTAAATACACACAAGTAATAACTTTTTGTATAAAATTTTAAGTCTATCGGTGGGGTTGTGTAAAGCCAAGCACACACGATATACAGAAAATCCAAATGGCGGCCTTTTACACACACACTTGTACGGGTTTATGAGTATTAAGTATACTTACTTATGTATGAAAATATATGTATGTGAACATGTTAAAATAGAAATCTAGTCGTAACGAGTATTGGTAATAAAGATAGTCCATCAGAAAAAACTATTTGAAAATACGCATACTCATTACTATAATTACACAAAATTATTTTTAAAAATAAATACACATTTTTTATTATTAATTTTTTATTCATTAGATTAAAAACGCAATTTTTGGATTACTTGAAAATGGCGCCAAAGCTTATTCCATTATTGCGCGTCAATACTGCGCAGCAGTATTCAGTTAGTTCCGGCGGTGGAAAGGACGCTGCTGCTCATTACTGCTGACGCTCTTCTTATAATATCAAAATATTACTAATTAACATCAATAATTAATAAAAATTAGCATTAAAATAATTCCCTGTCAGTATTTAGCATAAATTAATCAATAAATTAGCAAGTCTTTTGCTAATAATATATAAAAAATATTGGTAAGACAAATGTTAGCTATCATCTATATATATATATATATATATATAGGCATCATGATACCGAAAAAAAAATGAAAGAATATTCTTTTATTTACAATACCAGTTTAACGATGCAATAATTGATTTTGATAAATTATTTTTCATTTCGTTAATCAATATTCGAATTTTATTTTGATCGGTTTTAATTATTATCAATATTATATTTTGTTAAGAAATTAAAAAATTTACTCTTGTCCGCGCTTAGTTCTAAATTTCGCCACCTTTATGAAGAAGCGCTGTTGTTACATTTTAAAACCGTTACACTCGACAAACGTTTCGGATACGTTTCCAGCTCTATTTGTTTATATAAAAATATTCTTCAATCGCTAATTGAAATTTTTCAGTAAAACTTTTTTTTTTATTGAATATTTCTGTATGAAATAAAATCGGAAAGATTAATTCATGCATAAAATATGTTGAAAAATCTAAACCGCGTGAATATACAAAATCCTTAAATTAATTAAATACATTCTGCGTAATAAATATGACTCGATATTTACATGGCGCGAAATCTGTAAAGCCTTTCAGGCGATATGGATTTACCAGAACATGTTTACTATGAATAGTGACTTCTAATAAAAGAATTGAGATATTAATAATCGATTTATATAATTTCAAAAATAAATTTAAATAATTCCGACGAGTCAATAGTAGTAGAGATCACAGATGAGCAGTAGTTTTTTCTGATTCGCCGAATTATTGAACAATCGTGTATCGCGAAAGTAATTGTGTAAAATTGGTGAAAGTTTATAGTGATTATTCAAAATTTATTTAATTTAAAATTTTTATAACAAAAATAGTTGTAGTAGTAGTTGAATGAAAATTAAGTTAGCCGACATTTAAAAATTAAAAAGAATTTTTTTTATTGAACAAATGACTACAAAAAAAAAGAAAAAAAAATTGTCATTTGTTAAAAACTTTAAAAACTGTAAGTGCAATTTTTTAAAAATATTTTTTTGTTCTAATTTAATTATTAAAAAAAAAATCAAAAAATTGAAAACGTCGGCTAACGTTAGTATCATAGTAGTTGAGTGTAAGTGTTATGAGTGTAAATTATTTATTTTCAAAGGAGAATCCTTTCAGCTCCTGCCAGAACAACAAGAAACTCTTTAAAACGTAAGTCTTTTATTATTCTACAATGATATTTTATAATTTTTTTAAAAAATACACACAAAAGTGATTTCTATATTTTAACAATAATTGCAATTTTTCAAAAAAAAAAAATCGAAAAAAGACATAGAGAGACATATTTTGTAGATAAGACACTTACCGTAGGTTATGGAAGCACCTGTAATTTACTTGTCATTCCGTAAGCGTGCCGGCTGTCGGCTTATGATTCATAACCTTTTAATACTCATGTTTGTTATTGTTTACAATTTCAAAAATAAATTCAGTTATTTTCAAATATTTTTTATATCAATAATCGCTAAAAGCTACTTGTGAAATAATTAAAAACATTTTTTATTACACAAAAATATAATGAATACATACGACGAATTTATTCAACTCCATAAAGCGCAGCTTGAATTATCAGGTATTCCAACAATTTATTGGCCAACATTATATATAAAACTAAGTAAAGAAATATTTGATGCTGGTCTCGTTTTTCAAATTGCTAAAATCGACTACACTGATTCAGTAAAAACTCCTCAGGATCCAGGTTTCAAGTTATTCGTAGCAGCCGAGGAAGGTTTAGTATGTGATGATCCCAATAATATATTTTTAATAGATCATGCTTGGATGTACGACGTCAACTTTGCACATCAATTATCAGAAATTCCGGTTTTATTAGATCGTCTGTGTAATTTGATGTCTTATGACGGTCCAGATGACAAAAGTACCAAAGTTGAGTTTGCTCTCAGAGAAATGTGGAGGTACAACCAGTTTTATTCATCGAACAAAGGGACAATTGAAGAACGCCTGCCGCTTTGGTATATAATGGACGAAGTTGGATCAGCGATAAACCACAGTGATGATCCCAATTTTCGTACTGTTCCTTTCTTGTATCTAAATCAAAATACTACTTACTCGCTGCTGTTTCCTATAAAAAACGCTGAATTTAATGACGAGGTCACCAGAGATTTTGTTGAAAATCAAACTAATGATCCAGAAAAAAGACGTGCCTTATTGCTTCCCTGGATTGATCAAGACTTTACTGACAAAAGCTTCACTCCAGTCGAGCCAGACGCACAGTATTTTTTATCCGGTCGCATTCCGGAGTCTTTACCTCAAGAAAACAGATCAGCAAATGGTCAAAATGGTGACATAAAACCGATTAAATTGAAAGTTTACACTCAGTATGACGTTATAAGTCAGTATCTAACTGATCCAGCTTTTGAGCTCGTGGACAATGAACATGAAGCTGATGTACTTTGGTTGATGGTTCATTTCAAAGACTATAAAACGCTGAGCCAAGAATCCCCTCACACGTTCGTTAACCAATTTCCGTATGAACATATTTTGACTAATAAAGATTTATTGTCGATCGTTTGTAGAAGGAAAGCTGCTGATAAGTTGTATGACCCCGAGACACTAGACACTTATCCGTCATGGTTACCGACGACTTACAATCTCAGTACGGAGCTCATTGAATTCGTGTCGTACTTCCAAAATAGAGAAGCTAGGGACTTGGACAATCATTGGATCTGTAAGCCGTGGAATTTAGCTCGAGGATTGGACACTCATGTAACGAATGATTTATTCCACATCTTGCGTTTGCCCAGCACTGGTCCTAAGATTGCCCAAAAATACATTTCATCTCCTGTGTTATACACTAGGTCTGGTGTAGGTAGTGTTAAATTTGACGTTAGGTATGTCATTTTATTAAAATCGGTAAAACCTTTGATGGTTTACGCCTACTCGAATTTCTTTTTGCGATTTGCTAATAAAGAATTCGCGTTGAACAATCTTCACGACTACGAGCAACATTTCACGGTGATGAATTACTCGGATGAAGCTGAGCTTTATCATGTAAAGTGCGCTGACTTTGAGGTCGAGTGGAATAAAATGTACCCGGAAAATGAATGGAAAAACAGTGTCGAGATTAAAATATTTAAGATGATTAAAGAAGCTTTTGAGGCCGCATCCGACGCACCTATGGGTAAAGGAATCGTTGATAATCCTCAGAGCAGAGCTTTGTACGCGGTTGATCTAATGCTGGAGTGGAAAAATAATGAAATGAATCCTGTTTTACTGGAAGTTAACTTCTCACCTGACAACAAACGTGCGTGTGAATATTATCCTGACTTTTATAACAACGTTTTTAAATTTTTGTTCCTGGATACTGATGATACTAATGAATTTATTGAACTATAATAAATATATTTTGCACGACTCATGATGCGAAGCATCAGAGAGTGCTTTACGATCGAAAAATTTTTTTCGCCTCATTTTGGCAGCTATTTTTATTATTATAGCCTTGTTAGTTCACGGAATCAAGATATTTTGCATACTATTGTCGAGATAATTTAATGGAGATTAATTCCATACTTTTTAAAAATTGATTTACTGCAATAGAATCGAAAAAAAACACCAAAATAGGCCAAAAAATTTTCCTGTCCGTCATGTGTGAAACCCGAAAACACTGTAACTTGTGAAAAAATCCATTATTTGAGTTAAATTTTTTTTTTTTAAATTCTAATCGATGATTGTAGGTCACTGAATGCGAATGATTAATTAATTCAGTGTCGTTTAATTACAATTAATAAAAAACGAAAACTACAAGACTGTATATTTATATATATCCATGTAAAATTAACACGGATGGTGACAGTGACATATCTATAGATATTATGTACATTTATTCCGCCAAAGGCGCTTGTGCAGTACCTTCCTAGTACAGCTGTTTTTTCGGCAACTAATTTTGAACGACTTATGTTTTTTTTTTTTTTTTTTTTTTTTTTAATATTTTATAATTAAATGAGCATTATGAGTCGTGCACTTTTGGATTTTCCAAACTTTTTTTGTTTAATTTACCTTGGTGTATTCTTAAATAATTAAAAGGGTATTAAACAACGTAATTAAAACGTGAATTTAATTTACATTTTACTGCTTAACACATTGTAAGTTTTATAGATGTTCATGCTTAACTCCTCAAGTGATCCAGCTATTTTTAATGTCATGTATGGCTATAAACAGAAACGTGCGAATGTACACATACATCAGAATGGCATTTATTGTCTGGATATAAATTATTAAAACTTGTTTTACTCCTCTTTATTATCATGTTAACAGGTTCCCGTTTTTTTTATATTTTTGTTTAAACTATTTCTTGTTTTATTATTTTAATGATTGACGATGAAAACATTTATCTTTTATTACATCATTTTCAAATAAAATAGAAAGAAAATATCTTTTTTTTTTACATAAATTTGAAGATAAATTTATAATTAACTTAAAAATAAAACGGAACAATTATACATATTTAAATTACTAAAATAAAAAAAAAACAATTTTTAAATTGAGTAATAAATAGTTTATTAGAATGAATGTGATAATATTTAAAATAATATTTGCACATCGTCTTGATTATTGTTAAGAAAATTCTGTGAGGTTTTAAAGATAAATATTTAAACTATTTACCCTGTTCTGCAAACTGGCTTTTTCCGTTTTTTGTTTATTGTTTTAGCTTTCTCTTTCCATTTGTTTTTTTATATGTTTCATTTCATTAACTTTTCTCAACTATTTCTGCATTAATACTGATTAGAGATAGCCAACTTTTACACATACGGATCTTACCGAACTTTCGTTAAAAAATTTATTTCTGTCAATAATTTAAAGAAATCAGGTCTACATAGTGATATTGTCTACCAGCTAAAATTGTTTTCATGATATAGAAGTTGACGTACATGTTTTTTATGAAAATTCTACGACTTTTGTTCTATGATAGCATTCAGAATTTATATTCTTTATTTAATATTATTTCTTTTAATTTTCATCATTAAATTTATGTTTTTTTAACGGCTTATATTGATGACAATTCGGTTTCATTTTTATTTTTATTGTTATGTATAATTTACGATCACAGAACAATGAAAGCTGAACTATTGGACGATACATAATATTAATAAGCGTGCAATAATAATTTTTATCATTATTATTTACTTATTAAAAAAAATAATCACGTATATAAATAAATAATAATAGTATTGCATACTATTGTTATTATTTTTTTTTATAAATTATAATAATATACAATTCTATTTGCGGATTATATAATTTTGTCGGGATACACGAATAAGCGTGTACAAAACTATCTCATTCTTTGGTTGAATTTATTACCCTAGTGTTTAAGATCAAAAATTACTTACGTAGTATATTAATTATAATATTATTATTATATACTAAAGATAAATATGGACGCACAAAAAAATATAATAAAGTTCATCTCAAATATTAATTATCACAATGTCCTTAATTCTTTTAAATATTGGTCTATAAAAACAACATATTTTCCACCAATTTAAATTCAAATATCGGATCTATCTTAATCTAGCTTTATCGCAAAACAAAAAAAAAAACAAATATTAAAATTGTATTATTAAATTTATAAAAAATCTTAAGGACATGTTTCTTAATTATTTTTTTCTCAGTATCAATTAATAATAATAATTAGCTTAAAAAATAATACTTATCATTTACCACTAACCCAAAATTATCTCACTTGATATTACATCAATGTATACTTTTTTTCATAGTCTACCTAAAGAGATGAACCTATGACTTTTTTTTCTTCTCGTAAAAATTTCAATTTGTATGGCAGATTATTATTTATTGATGATATACTATTCAATAAATTGATTTGTCTGTTATATTTTTTTTTAGCTTTGGTATAAGAAATTGATTTACAACTATTGACTCAGAATACAAATATAAACATTTATATTAATTTTAAATTTCAAGTAAAAAAAATTTTTTTTCATTAAAAGATCTAAAAAAAAAAAAAAAAAAAAAAAAAAACAACAAAAATTGTTCATTGTGACATTGCACTTAATCTTACTGATGATGGAAAAAAAAAATGAGAATGTTAATTTATTGTGAAAATATAAAATCGACGGAATGATGTGAATGATTTGAATTTCGATGTTTATCTTTACGATGATTAGTCCGTGTAATACTGCTTCTAGTACCACCACCATTATTATAAATCGTTGTACCACCGGACGTATGATGACTGTAACCACTATCACTACCAAAACTACTGTCAGGCTGTCCTTGGTAGAGTTTACCAGCAGAAGTTTGTTCTGGATCGCGCGAAGTAAAGTAAACAGGTTGGGCGTATCTATCGTCACTGTAGTAAAGTTTATCAGTTGGTTGGGCGTATGTATCTGAATAGTCATTACCAACTTGTGTATAAATTGGTGTCACCACCTGATTGTGTAGTCCAAAGTATTCCGAGCCATACTGGGGATATTTATCGTAATCATTGACTGTTGACACTTTACTAGAAGATTTGTCTTTCGGATTTGTTTTACTTTGACTTGAATAATTATGCAGCGGACCTAGAACTGGTACACTCTCGTACGGATTTTCTTCTTCTTTGTTGTTTATTTCTCTATTTAATGAGTGAAATTGTGGAGGCATTTGCGGCACATAGTACGGAAATTTATGTGCTACCGTCACAGCAGGTTTTGTTCGTTGACTAGAATTAGTTTTAGTTCCTGCTATACCTAAGCAAATATAAAACAATAGTAATTATTATTATTATTATCATTATGATTATTATTTTATAATTATGAAATTATGATAAATATAATAATAATAATCATCATAATAATTACCCGGAACATTAGGATAAAATTGTAGCAATGCATCAAGAAGCATTCCTTCGTGAAATTCGCCAACGTCATGAGTTTTATTTTTTCTGCGTCGATCTAAGCTTCTGGGGCTCTTGCCTCGTCTTTCACGTGAAGTTCGCGAAGACCCGGCGGGACATGTACTCCATGACACCGGCCCTGGGGATGCTGAGGTTAACACCCGTGACTCTGAAGGCTCGCCGACAGATAATTCATCCTCTGCGAATTCATCTTCGCTTGCTGATTTTGAATTTGCTGATGCACGGTGGTGCAAACGTTTTCGCCCATTTATTTCACCTTCTTCGTCTGTGTCAGGTTGGTTATCACCTGCAATAATTTTTTTTCGAATCAATTTACAAATGCGCAATCATTCAGTGACTTAGTTTTAACGTTTTATTTATTTTTTTTTTTTGATTGATTGTAATTATGCTATTGATAATTACCATTACAAAGCTCTTCATAAACTGGATTATAAAGATCTTGTGATCCGTACGGATCTGGTCCAGGGCTGCTACACACAAAGCCTCGATTCCCATTCTTCTCCTTATTGACATCAATCATCTGTAGTCAAGGTATATATTATGTATTTTTTTTTATTTTTTATTACGGTGTGTACTATTATTTCCATTGTCAATAGCATCAGCGGTTAATTCAAAATAAAGCGATTGGTTAAAGCGGTTTTGTTGATGTCGATTTATCGTGATATTTAGCACATTATTTTTGCACGTCGTAGCAAGAGCCGGAAGTGTTCTCTATTCGCTCATAGTTTTTTTTTTTACTTGAAATGAAAAAAATAAAATAAAATAAAACAGCAAATAATTTTATGTTTAATTTAATTTTATTGCACAATTTTTTTTTTTTTTATTTAAGAAAGATTTCTTTTTCTGTATCATTAGATCTATTTTAAAATTTTTTATTTTTCGAATGAATCGAATAAATAGTATTACAATTAAATAGTTTAAAAAATATTTTTAGTCGATTTTCATAGCCTTGAAAATTAAATGAAATTTTTATTTTAATTTCATTTGAATATATTTTTTTTTAAATGATTGTCATATAGATCAAATATTCATATCACTTGATATAAACTCATGCATATTGTAATAAAATTTTTTTTTCTCATGAATATGCATTTACTGAAGACTGAATGAAGTTTGATCACAGAAGTGGTTATCCGCAAACACTATTTTAAATCTTAAAGAACAAACAAAATGAAAACTTTCAATAATTAAATTTTTTTTTTCATTAAAAAAAATTTTAATCAACTAACTGATTTGAACAATTAATTAGCATTAAAAATAGATTTTAGTTTTTTATATGTTTTGGGATGGGATGATGAACCGGGTGAATAACCACTCCTTGTCAAATTTTCTCAGTAAAGTCGTTTTTATTTTTCGATAAGTTTTTTTTTAAAAATTATCTTATCATTTTTAAATAAATAATAATAAATACTTGATGTACAATGATTATACTTTCTCTTAATATTTTTTCGTTTTATTTCATACACATTTACACAAACACGCATACAATCTCAGTCTCATTTTAAATATTATATTCCTTTAAAAAGTTTACTTAACTTTTATTCTATAAGAAATAAATAATACATATCGTTAATAATAATAATTTAAAAAAATAATAATAATACTAATTTTAAAGTATTTTTTGACCTATTGTCGAGTGACTAAGTCACCAATTCATAGCCAGTAACAGATATGTTTGACCTGAGTATTTACTCAGATATTTATTAATATTCACAGCATTTAAATTATAATAATAATAATAAATTAATAATAAAATATAAATAATAATTACAAAACAAAATAATAATAGTAAAATTGGAAATTGGTCGGTTTTTCTACTTCGCTATACGTGAAGTTAATATATGTATATAAGATATATATTTATATAATATATACGTTGATTAATTGTTTACATAGATTTCACTTTTTGAAAAATCTATTCCGAGTACGATTATCATTATATAAATTTTGTACTACAAAAAAATACAAAACAATATTTAAATTATTTTTGATTAAATCAAATATAGACTAGAAAAAAATAAAAGGCTATAAAAATAAAAACATTCTAGTCAAATTCTCGCTAAAGTATTTTTCAAATAATTTGAATGCTAAGAATTTTGTTGAATGAATAAAAATATTATTTTTTATGCATTAGAAAATTACGTTATCTTATTAATGCGAGTGCAGCTACTCTATATAAATAGTATTGATTATTCCAGCCACTAATTATCGTGAATTTGAATGATATAGGATTCTGATTGCTTTGATAGAAGACGATCGACCTGCGATTAATCTGATTTAAAAAATTTCGACGTCGGGGATTATTTTATTAAATCAGCAAACGTAAACATTTATAAAAGTAACCCCTTTAATAAATAAAAACTAAAATAAAATGCTTTTAAAGCTCGCGTTATACGAATGAATAAATAAATAAATAAATCAAAGAGGTAGCAAAAATAATCATTCAGTTTTACTGATTGCAAAATAAATTATTGGTCTGATCAGGTAACGTGACAAGGTGATGAATTTGTTGTATAGTACAAAGAGGACAAATTTCCTCATTAGTGCCGTCTACAGAGTTACACTCTGTTCTACTGTTAGTCGTTCCTCGATTATTGCTACAAGATCGTTCAGAATTACGCTTATTTTTAACTTCAACACTAGAGCTCTCATGAACAGCCGCTGTATTATCATTAAGGAGTCTTTGACACGATTCGTCGATATTATCGCCCCCATCTCGGTCAGCATTGCCATCAATACGATAATTACCGCGCGTTTTTTCCAATTTATTTAGATAGTAATCTTCGATATCAATGTAAGCGTAGCCCTCAGAATCCACAGATAGCCGTCGTTTCCTATTAACTTCGCAGTTACTATTTTTTGATTTATCATTTATTGTTAGTGGCGACACGATGTTACTGTTATTGCTAATGTTACTACATGTTGCTTGAGACTCAAATAGCTGATCATTATTAGTAGGGGCAAAGCGCGAATTATGTGTCGAAGTTATTAAATCATTTGGTATCGAGTAATGTGATGGAGGTAATTGGTTAGAATCTGCGCAACAGTATCTGTTGACGTTTGTTTGCATTGAAACGAATGACAAGCCCGGTATAATTGTTGGATTTGTCATAATGAATGGATTTTGATTATTCAGCGTTAAGTTATTTATCAGTAAACTGTTAGTTGTCGCAGTATTAGTATTAATACCAGTATTTTGTAGATTTATAGAATCAGTAGCTCGCTGCTGCTGATGATTATAGTCATTGATAAAATTTCGATGTAGGGTAGTAATTGGTGGTGACATTGTCATCACACCTTGTGATTTTTTAGCTAAAAGAGCCATTGGTGTCCGATAACCACCAAGTATTGCTTTAGATGGCATTTTATTAGTGCTAATAATCGTACGTGGATCACGATAATCGAGATAGTCGAGGTAGTGCGATGCAGGAGTGCACTCATCGCTCACCTGCTGCCTCGAGGGATCTATACCTCGTACCTCGATTGTTGGTTGCATCCTAAGTTGAGCTGGCAAGTGATTGTGGATTTGAGAATGCGGTACGTGCTCCATCATATCCTCATAGAGACGGGCTGTGTTATTCCCACCCATCATATTACTGCTGGCGGACGTTAAAGCTTGCCCATTCGGCAAGACCCGGGTACGCCCGGTTGTCGCTGTTACTGATACTGCGCTTTTGCAAGGAAGGAGGTTCTGCACTTTTCTCTTGTGTCTGTAACAAATTTTAGAAATTTTTTTTTATGAGTTGAGTGGCTTTTATCCGGCGGATTATCAAAAAGAGTTCATACGATGACTGTCATTGTTGAATAAAACAAATTCTAATAGATAGATGAGTATTCGTTTAAAGAATAATAGACTAAACTTACTTCCAGAATACGACGGAAACGATCGCAGCCATTAACAATAAAATAACAGTACAGGCGATTATTAAAGCTGTGTTCTGTAATGACGGATTGGCGTGATAGGACGCATCGATCATCTGAAACATATAGTTTATATTTATTATTAAGTGACATTTTATTAGATTATTATTTTTATGTGTGAACTGTAATAGGCTGACAATTGTAGGTATAAGGGTAGTTTATTAATATTTTATTAACGGAGAGCAGTAACCTACAACGAGTAAAGACGATCAATTGGAAATGATAAGCTGAGTCTAAATGTCACGTATTTAGTCTATATTTGTAGTAAACATCGTAATGTTAACCCACATAGTTGTAAATGAAACGTCACTGTCTATATTTATAAGAAGCATTACGTCATAGATTCAGTTCATTATGTACATAATAATAGTAGTAGTATGTACAGTATTATATTATAAAATAAAGAAATAAAAGATAATGAAGAAGTTGATGTAAAATGTTCCATAAAGTAGTTTTTTATGCAAAAGAGTTATTATAATTTCTTGAATGTTAAAACGATTTATCTTTTCTCTTGCCCTTAAGTATGTACATACTTGTCATTGTTTACACATAATGGGCTCATTTAACAAATTCATCATGTATGCATACTCGGTTAAAGACATGTAGGAATGCGGTTAAATAAGGTGTGTATTATGTTCTTAAATCACAAAAAGATCCAGCGAGGATGAGTATTAGCATTAATTCAATTGTTTGCACGGGATTTATCTCAAGCGTTGAAAGTTAAATTGTCAGAGTATGATAATATTTACAGAGTTTTTAGTTTATTTTTAGTTTTTTTTTTTTTTTTTAGTAGGTACTGCCTTGTACATACTAAAATAAACTTTTGAATTAATAATTTAATTATGTTTGTTTAGAAAGTTATTTAATTATGCGATGCATCAAATTTAACGAAGCTCATACTAGGTGACTGCTTTCGCCCCATCTCACTCCCATCGTATAGAGACGTCTTAATAATCAATAAATTTAATCCTCTGAGAATAGAAACTCCCGAGTCTCATACCAAAAGTTTGTCATACAGCTCGGGTTTATGGTGTACTGTTTATTAAACTAATAGATTTAACCTGTATATCCTAATAAGCAAAACTTTTGATTGTTTTTAATTGATATTAAAAATTAATGGGAAGATATTTTAATAAAATTAAGTTTGCAAACAGGTTTAATCTTTGAATATATTTATAATTTGCAATAAATATTTACCGGAAAAGCAACACAATCCTCAAGCTCGGCTAAAGGTGCTTCCGAGCAGAATGCCGTTTCCGTAAGGAAAGGTGGCCTAGGTGGTGGAGGTAACCGAAATATCGGTGGTGGTCCTGAACACTCTGGGCAATCCATGTTATCCAATTTGTCGAGTTTAGCCATTCTCCTCTTGAACGTACTAGAAATTGAAAAGATATAAATTGAAAATTATTGATTTTTTTTTAGTTTTATTTTTCGGACACTTGAATTTATTTTGTTCAAGTGTAAATTGTTATTTTGAGATAGACAGTAAAAAACTAAATTATTTACACACAATAATAGAGTTTTTCATGAGTTTGTTTAAATCAAGAATAGGATTTATATATCATTTATATTTATGTGTCTTGTCTCACTAAATTTTACCGGAAACTATAAAACAGCCAGACGTTTTACGTAGTATATATTATCTAAGTCATATTATACGTGAAATTACTTGTTCATATCTTTTATTTACCGTTTTATTTCATTCTTGTATATAAAAAAAAAATAAAAAAAACTTGAGAAAACTATTTCAAATTGAAAATAGTTTTACGGTTCTTTTAATAAATGGTTTTTCAAAATCAATTTCGAAAGGTAAATAATAAAAAGAAATGAGGACAGTGATAGTACTAAAAGAATGTCGTAAAAAATAAACATTTGCATTGAATGGTCCAGTCGATTTCCTGTTTCCAATCCAATGAATATCATTTTCACGTAATCTCATCACTGGATAGTGCTTTTATAAGGGTGCATTCAAAGAAAGTATTGTAATGTTAGTAATAATAAAAAGGACCCATGTGATTATTGCCGGGTTCGTTGTTGTGAAAAAATAAATTATCGGATGAATCATAGTAATAAAACGTAACATGTTGCTCTTTATTAATTTAATTTGTTATTCGCCTATTCATAGGGTGGAGATCACTGATTAATTTAGACAAGTTTATGAAATTTTAAATGACAATAGCATCCCATTAGAAATGTCATAAAATAATCAGTAATAACGTTAGTGAAGCAAGGGGTGAAATATATGTAAGATCAATACTTGCGCGCAGGCTCACGTTTAATTATTAAATCTCTAATGTTTTTACAAATCTTGGCTTACAAATTTATTAGCTAATTGCTGAATTTTATAGCCATTGATTGATACTGTTTCACATTATTCAAGTATTTGGTGAATAAATTTTAAATTTAAATGAATAAAGTTCAAAAATCATATGCTGCGCGCCCTTGAAAATTCTCTATTCGAAATCTGACTTTGACAACTTTTTCCTTATAATTTATCAATGAATATTCATGACAGATTATTTGTATAGAAATACGACCATAGTTTATTGATTGAAAAATACAAGGAATAGATTTTTTATTATTGATGTTTTCAAAAGTTTTAATTCTGCTTTTCAAAATTTAATATTTGATTTAACTTGTTGAATGTTATTATTATAGCTAAACCATTAATATTTTTAACAATCAAAACATTTGTACGGATTCATCATTCAAAGCCGGCATTATACAAATGTTTATGATACGCATATTAAATACACACAATAGGACATTTAGCGATTGAGTGGTGTGTGATAGTGACATGAGGACTTATATGACTCACGGCGTTATGAATTGCAAAATCAATAAGGACGTTTTTGATAAGTCTCCAATTAGCCGAAAAAAAAATACACCTTATTACTTTAAATGAAAAAAAGCGCGAATTTATTTTGAATGGAAAAAACTACTCATAATATTTGATAACACAAAATGATTGTTTTTTTTTTTGTAATTTGAAAGTCACTGACAAAATATCTTACCTCAAAAATTCAATCATCATCATATCAGTTTGAAATGAAAACATCTCGATAATTTTATAAATCTCGTAGTTTATATTCAATCCAATTATTTATTTACTTGTTTTCATTGTACATATAAATAAATCAACATTATTTATTTGCTTTAAATAATATTGGTATTAGTGACTCCAAAGTGATAAAATTTTAAATGTTTATTGGCATTATTTTTTCACAGCCAAAAAAATATTTTTACTATCAAAAATTTACAATAAAATCACTTTTTTTTTTTTGGTAATTCAAATAAACAACTCCAAAAAACACTGTGTACTCCAATAGTGAGTATTGACCAGTCGTGATACATAGATACCAAGTATCATAGTAATGCTTAAATCAATAATACTGTGCAAAAATAACAAAACTATATTTAGTTGCAAAGCAGATTCAAATTAAAAAAAAACAATCTGCAGGATATTTATATTTTTATTTATTTTTCATTGATAAACAATTTATTTAAAAAAAGTTGATCTTAAATAATATCCACACACATTTCACTTTCAACAGACGTTCACATAACGATGACGTGAGATACACTGTTGCTACGGATCTGCCGGCGGAAACATCCCAGCAACTCAGTAGTTTAGTATCTCCCCACCATTTTATCCGTGAAACTCTCCTACCCTTAAATGAATTTCTCCCTCTACAATACTACTTTTACTATACAGATATGTGCATAGTCCTTCGCAAATGTTCATTCTACATTCTACCAATAGGTAAAAGCTTCGATATATACATATATACAAGTGTTGAGATATATAGAGTGAATCTGTTATTGGGAAGCACATAGTGATGCTAAAGAGGGGAGTATCGACCTCGTCGGAGATAGCCAAGCTACATACTACATAGTAATACATACATATATATGTATGTACCTTTATACAAGTACCATACATTACTAAACTGTACTAGTGAGAGTTAGTAGAGAGAAGGTCCCCTGGTGGATAAATTCGCAAATAGACTAAAAAATCCCTCCTTTAAAGTCTTTAGAGTGTAAGTAGAAAAGAGCAGGAAATTGTCACATTGCGGGGGTCGGGATAAATTGGTGAAAAAAGTCCATTACGAAATGAATCAGAAGAGAGTCTGTAGTTGTTAAATAAATAAAGACGGTCTTGAGTTTGGATAAGTTGTGACTGAGATAAAATTAATTACCGTGCAGTTTATTTTAACGCTTCTCCGAAATATCGAATTGTATTTTTTTATAAATAGTAATAATGTTATCCCAGGGCATTTATTTATTTGAATAAATTTGTTGGCTCTCAAAGACTCAGGTTGTTTTATTGTGTTTTTATTTTTGTTGCTATAGAATAAAATGTGTGAATTTTGTCTTAAGTTTTAAACTGTAATTAAAATTGATTAAATACTGCGAAAGTTGATCAATCATTGATTGAAATAAATGAAACGATAATTATTATTTGATTAAATCTATAATAGATTGTAAATAAATTGTTAATTGAGGAGTTATTGAATGATATGGGTTTAGCGTTGAATTAAATGTTAAGTTGACTTACCGCAAACTGACGAATGAATAATACAGTCAATGAAGTTATGCTGGATGAATTTGTCACGATGAAATGACTGGCCATTTTATCATAATAGTTTTCATAGTACCTAAACAGAAAATTACTGTTTATTGAAAAGTTTATATTTAAACATATAAATTTCTATATAGATAGTTACTTTGAAAATATTTTCCGTAAATTAATAATTTAAATTCTAAGAGATCGAATTTTATGACACTGACATTTTGACTTTCTTGACATTTATGGTCTGTGTTTATGGTCTAAAAATATATGTCTGGTCTTATTGATTAATCTAAGCGCGTATAGTTTGGTAAAAAATAGGATTTAAAAGTTCAAGAATATTTAAATTATATTTTTATTATGTTAGATAACTTTAAAATATCTAAAACTTTTCAAATTTGGAATTTATCAATCTGTTCAGTAAGTCTATTTTTAGAGGTCATAAGATTTCCTAGAAAGTATTCTTTTAGTTTTTTTCTTTTATGTATTGTGAAAACTTTAGGCGCGGTGGATCGTTTTATCAGATTTTTAATAAAAAAAAATTAAGTTTCAGCATTTAACTAAAAAACTATCTGACGGGTAAAGTTTTACCTTGGGCTTTTGTGTTCAAAATTTAATGTCTTTCAACGCCAGATGATTGATAAGTTAGAAATTGTTTTAAATAAAATATAAGATTTAACAATGATTTCTTTTTTCTTTCTTTTGTATGCCAAATATTGAATTCAGAGTCGATTCTTGAAATTTGAAACAAAGGCTACATTTTATTCTTCAAGATTTTTTTGTATATCCATAGAAAGTGTTTCACAGTAAGCGTGAAAAATGGTTTTACGATACTTACGTCAAAAAAATTTGATTGTAAGAAGTTACTGTTTCATTTTTTTTGCATTGTTAAGTAAGAGTAAATTATATAAAGAAAAGAAAATAAGCTCCTTCAAAAATAATTTCCAACACTTTACTTTTGACATAAATTTTTATTTATTTAAAACCAATAAGGATTTTAATTTACCTTCCGTTTCTCCACTTTAATAAATATCAAGCTAATTCAAAAATAAATTAAAGTCTTGATTAGAGCTATAAATTTTTTATAATTAAATATCCCTACGAATTTATTTACCACGATAACTTATTTTTATTGCATACATACTTGTAACATAAATAACAAATAATAAAATAAGAAACATACAATACAGATACATATATGATAATACAAAAGCAAATATCATTTGATTTTATGAGTTGTTAATGGGATATTCATATGCAGGTGCACAAATATATAATATCGAATATTTGTATGTCCATATATGTATTCGAAAGTTTATGTATGGCCTGCGGACATTGCTATTTAGTTTTAGTCGCGTCAGTTGGCACGCGAGCACTCCATGATAGCTTTATATCTATATATTCACCCGAGTACATGTGTGTATACATGTGTCGGCCTTTTGTCGCGGTGTAGACCCCTCTTACGACCGGATTCATTATAAAAGACGAAGGATGATATCTAAATTATCCTCTCTAATACTCTTAGGTCTTATAGGGATCGAGACTCTCTGACCGTGATGGCACAAAAAAGGATAAAGTAGACGTGGGATACATTAGTGCTGTCAAGTGAGCGTGAGAGAGATAAATTTTAAAATAAGAGAAGGAAAACTAAAATTACTGGCAAAACAGTAGGGAGCAGTTGGGTGAGATGCGAAGATAATTGTTAGGTAGAGAATAAAAAAATACCAAGGTGTATCCTATATATACATATATACCTCTATACACGTCCGAGCGATTGGATCCTTCTACTTCAAAGTTACTCTTCCATGCACACTATACTTTTCTAAACTCCGCCCTGAGAAATATTCGAAAAAATCCAATATCTTAGTTATTTCTTCATTTTATAAATTGAGCTATCTGTACACTTAATTGTGCTGTATCACTCTCGCGGCAGCCGTGTTATTATAGGTTTTTAATTTTTTTTTTAAAACCGCTTTTATCTATACTGTATATATTTTCGGGGAAAAACTTATACTTGTAATTTTTTTAAGTATAGATATTTTTTACATTTACCTCCACCAACTGGTCTACTTTTTAGAAAGGAACATAATATATATTTAAGGGCTACCTTATATACCCTTTTACAAGGCTAAAGAGGTCACTGTGAAAGAGGTATATAAATAAGAAAAAATTTACTTTTTAAAGTTTTCTTGGATGATTATTTTTCCACAAGACTAAATTTTTTATATACGTTAGATTTTTTTACTTAAAATTTTACACTTGTTAAACGTTTATTCTCTTTGCCGGGAGCCTTTGCTAAAGTTGTAACATGTATTATTTGTAAAAAATTTTACCTTGTAGAATAATCTCTTGTTTTCTTTTCTTTCTTTCTTTTTTTTTTTTTTTTTCTTTTTCTCTCGCTGAAAAGTCCTTCACTTGACGACAAGCATTTTTTTTGTTGACAATAAATACTTTTATTTTGGGTTATAAAAAATTTCAGTTACTTTGATTAAGACACTTAGCTTTGGAGGGTAATAATTCTTAGATACACGTGACAAATCGCTCCAAGTTCTCAAGGAACATAATAATAAGAGCCCTCGAGTGGTAGCTGGAAAAAGAAAAAGAAAATAGCAAAAAGTCAGAAGAAACCAGTGACCCTAATTAATTTTTCAGTGGGCTTTAAAAAGTTGAAGTAGTGAGATATAAACGTTGTTTTTTTATCATTTATATTTTTAAAATATAATTGTTTATTTTTTCTTGGGATAGTATAAGTTAACGACGCCTGTTTCCGCAGTGTATACATTATTAAGGTGTTGTTTGTTTGAAGTAAGTATAGGTATAGAATCTGGCTGTTGAATCTAAGGAATAAGTCAATAGTGTTGTGGTCTGACGTCAAATGTCCGCTTGTCTTGTTTCTAGTTGTATATATAAATCGAAACGTAAGAATAACCCGCAGTTAAATCTAGCAAAAGACAAAAGAATCAATAGGTTGCCAGTGGAAGAGAATGGAAAGCGTGAGGAGGGTGCGATAGCAACAAGGGGTGTGATTTAGGGGTGCGAAAGCTGACGTACTCCCTTGTGAGACTACTGCCACATGCGCGCCGTTGAAATTCAGAAAAGAGAGTGAAGGAAAAACGTTCATAAAACTGAAAAACACGTGATTTCCCCTAGGAGAGAGAATATGAAATATTATTTTCATTTCATGTATTTTAGTCTAAGTTATTTAGGGGTGGAAAAATATTCAGGAAAAAGCTATTTATAAAAACGCATTAAACAGAGCGTTAAAAAAAATTTTATAATCATTTTCATCGCTTTATTCTATTGTTATTATCGTACAATAGGAAAAAATATGAAAAAAAAAAAAAAAACAATTTTCTACAGATAAAAAAATCCATTAATTTTTTTTGCTTCAAGGTAATTTATAATTCTCGTAATAACTTAATAACTTCTCTATCATTTTATAGAATTAAAAGAGGAATTATTATTATTAAACATTAATACAATCAAGG